TCTAGGTTTAAATTGCAGTCCAATTCTGAGATTAATGCTCAGGAAGTTGAATCAATAAAGAAACAGTTACAGAGGTTTGTACTGTAAATCTCACAAATAAATCTCTAATATTCATTCATCCACTAAACCTTTGTGTAACAAAAAATGTTTATAGGTAGGAAATAAATGTGAATCAAAATCAAAACAGTAAAATGTAAAAACATTTGACACTGATGTATAAACCAATTATTATTTAATATTAGATTCATTAAATTCTTCAACTGCATACTCATGTGTATGGTATTTAATCTTTTTAAGGTTCTTTTAAGGAATCAAATTTTGTGTCAAGGAAAAGTATCTTAAAAAGTAATTGCATGCTTGCTTCAGTATTTTTAGCTCAGTGCCAGTTGAGATATTTCTTTCTGATATCCTTGTTTGTAATATATTATTTAGGCTTGAGAAGTTGCAAACATCTATTGAGAGGCAACAAGGAATTCAAAGGAAGTGGACTGTGGCAAGTTCTTTGTACAAAGAAGTTCTTGCTCGCCTCAAGCTTAAACAAGGGTGTCAGTTACTCAAAAAACTACACCACCTAGCAGCGGAACGGATTTTTGTTCTGGAAATGAAGAAAAAGTATGCAGGTAAATGATAGGTTCTTGATATGACATGATAATGGTGATAAACACTCTGAAGACCAGCTTTATGTGTGTGTCTTAGACAGGTGCACAGAATGATTAAAACAGAGGCTCAGGAAGTGTCTGGCTTATCTGGGTGTGGGCTTGGATAGATTGCAGTGTAATCATAATATTTATTTAATTGCTATTTATTTACCTTATTTTGTAATCTGTCTTTGCAGATGGACAAGCTATTGCTAAAAAGCTGAACAAAGAACTTACCAAGATAACAGCCAGTGTCAAACTGCTCATACCCCAACTGAAAGCTTTGAGAACAGCTCAGTTTGGTGATCTGTCAGATGATGAAGTTTTTGTTATAGTGAAAGATCCGCAATCAACCATTTACAGTGCAGTCAACGTGGATCCTCAACGTAACACCCTAGCCCATTCTACAAAAATACAAATCATAAATGTGTTTTTGTTGAAAAAAAAAAAAGCCAACGAAGAAATCATTCTTCTTAAAGCAGAGGTTGAAAGGTTTCAGACCTTTCTTTCTGAGGAAGTTCAGAAAGTTGATTCTTGGATCGATAAGGCTTCCACTCAAAATAATCCAAGTCACAAGAACCTTCTTCTAGTGAAGAGAGCATCCTTAATCCAAGAACTAGCAAGCCTGCAAAGACTTTGGAAGGAAGAAGTCTTGTTTGAAACAGATTATGAAGAATTGCTGAAAAGAATTTTGGATGGAAGTGGAGAATCAACACTGTCTTTACTTGAAGATGAAGCTGCAAATGATAATGATGATGTTGATGATGTCAGTAGTGTTAGGGATGAAACTGAAGCTGATGAGAACGAACAAACAGACAATCTAGATCAATGATGGTGCATTTTCATTGTAAAAATTGTTGTTATGATAATAATAAGAAGCCATTTGGTGACGATGCATAGTCGATACCTCATAAAAGATGATATTTTATAACTATAATTACTAACTCACATGAATATTATAACAACATGACTTAAGTGAAACATTTGGGCCAATACAATTGCAGCTTCCATTGTAATGCAATAAAACCTCTTGTTCAGAGAACCTAGATTTTTTTCAAGTCAGCTTGAACAGGTTCCTAGTATATAAATGGTGCTTGACTGAAAATCAGGTTCGCTAGGTTCTTAAATAGGTTTCTTAATTCTCGCTAATAAAAAAAGTGTACTTGTATAAATGATTTGTTTTTCTGCTTTTTCATTACCTTTTTCTATCTCTTTCCTAATGTTCGCAAGGGCGGATACAGGGAGGGGGAACGGGGTGACTTGTCCCTCCCTCTTCCACATGAATTACAATAGGAATAACAATGCCTATCCCAAAAGAATGAGAGCTTTTGATCTTAATTAAAGAAAAGTCCCCCTATTGTGATTTTTTTTGCTGCATCCGCTACTGGTTCTACTCTTAAGAACCTGTCCGGATGAGCACACAGCTTTATATCCCTGTAGGATCGATGTTGGATAGCGTTAATGATTGAACGTTCATTTAGTATCTGTATAGTCTGAGTATGAATGGAAACTGAGACAAAGTCGGAAATAAAGTTGAATAGGATACCCTTCGCGAACCTTGAAAAAGCATACCGTGTTCAGTGGATCATCCCATACAGTCATATATGTCTTGAAAGTGACTTCTGCTGATAAGAAAGGTTGCGTCTGATTTGAAATAGCTAGATCAGAGGTGCATGCATCGCCACTTAGAAAATGAAAATACGCAAGTATTTGTAAAATGCGGTAGTCGCGTGCGATGTCTAATACTAGGGACTTTAAACAAACCACGACGGCTACGGGAACGAGAACGCGTGGAAAAACAGTAGATCTAATTGGCAGAACAATAGCCCAGTACGTGCGTTTTAAAACTTTGTACATTTCTTAGACGTCCTTTGCAAAACAACAACGTGAAATCACCAAAATTTGCGTCGTATGCGAAGCGAAACCGCGGCGAAAAATTCTTTTGGACCTCAACTCTACTTGTATGCGTTATGTTGAGTTTGAGATCTGGCGCCCTATGAGGCGGTAAACACATGCAGCCATTTTCGAAATTCTAACTAAAAGTAGAAACTCAGTTTTTAATCAACGTCTTCCGTGGCGTTGCCGTCCTGACTGCTTAAAGTCCCTACTGGGAGCTTTTCTACGGGTAATGTGTGTTAATATTAACATTGATTTTACTGTATACGTTTTAACATGATCAGCATGGGAAAATCACCTGTTCACGTTATGGTGATATACGATCCTGATCGATATGACTATGTTAGCATGTATTGACAAAGGACGTTATTACACGAAGATCGATAACAAAATTAGCACACTGAAAACAAAATTAGCACACATACAAAATCAGCACGTTAACACAAGAAAATCATTTGGAGCGAATTTCATCGACATATTTAAACCAAAAAAAGTCTTTCAATATTTTTTGCTTTGTTAGCTATAATTGTTTTGCAAAAAATTAAGAGCTTTCGGAGGAATTGTGCAACGCTCGTACTTATGCCACGGGACTTGCGTTGAGTCAATACTGTTACATGAACCTTACCGACCAAACAGCGCAAATGATACGATATGTCCTTAAAACAATCTTTTTATTAGGGCATCCTTTTTATTCGGTCTACACCATTTAATATTAAAGAACAAGCAATGAAAGACATATTTTTTACTTTTAAAATATCAGTAACAAAATTGACACACACATACAAACATAGTTAGCCCAACTCAGTGATCTCAGGGTTGTTTCAGGTTGTGTCATATTAATCAAGACATACCAAATTGATAATATACGTAATGCGATATTGCAATTTTTAATGTCGATAGCCGAAAGGTTATAAATGTTTGGAATCAGCCATGCATCAAGCGTGCAATCTGTCGCATAATATCTAGTCCGGGCGCTAGTATTATGCACGGGACTCATGATATCTATTACGTACAATTAGAGCTTTAGAGTGCGAATGAAAATTGAACAGTCACCTTAGATGTGTCAGGATTTGTTAAAGAAAAAATAAAGCTTTCAGGGCCTTATAGGTAAAAACTTATATTTTAAAGATTATACGTTGCTTTACAGGTAGCCAGTGAAGCTCTTTAAGGACTGGCGCAATTCGGTCATATTTTCGAGTGGCCGGACCAACACTCAAGGCCGGACCAACAATCAAGGTCGGACCAACACGCAAGGTCTTAAAATAATTGAGAAGAATATGCTGCCTTTCTATAACATCAAGAAATGGTTTAGATATTCTAGTCTTCTCGGATAGGGACGAATAAATGGAGGTCCCGTCTCCTGCAGGGTTAGGGGTAGGAGACGTTAATTTCCCACGCACGAGATTATTGTGTGATGGATGTCCTCCCCTGGGGTGGGATGGGTGGGTGTTGTCTTGCGATTATATGAGCCTCTGGCTCGGGCAATATGGGCAACCATGCCCCACGCAAAGACATTAAACTTGATTACAGGGAGTGCAGGAGACGAGACGCACTGCAGCATTTTGTACCCGCTGAACCTTATCTAATAAGTATTGTGGCAATTCACCCAACAAAGAATTGCGATTGTCCAGCTTAGATGTAATAAAAGCATGCACTAACGTTTCAGTATCTTCCTGTGAGTAAGACATTTCTTGATTTTAGATCAATTGCGTATGTGAAAGAGAGCTACTTTAGAGATATTTTGAACTTGATGCTCGTGATTCATAACATCGTTAAACATTACTCCTATGTTTCTAGCTGACTCAGTTAAAACTACCCTGACACCAGCAATTTTGATGTCACATGTTGGTGGTCGTGGGCGATGTTTGGCATGTATAACCAAAAACTCAGTCTTATCGCGATTGATCCTAAGCCCATTACATGCCATCCATGCATAGATCTCTTTAGCGCAGGCCTCTATTTCCAACAGAGCAGCAGATTCATCATTAGGCATAAATGGCACATAAATTTGGCAATCATCGGCATACAGGTGGAACTTAAGGCCATGTTTTCGAATTATGTCACCAAGGGGGGCCGTATATAAGCTGTAAAGGATTGGACCCAGTACTGATCCTTGTGGCATAATAACCCAGAATGTTATTATATAAGGGCACGAAAAAAGGTAATTTGTAGCATCGTTGAGAAAGTTGAAAAACTTACGTTTCGGACCTTTGTCTTTCGTCGGAGTAAAAATGTGCGTAATATACGTACATTTTTCCGGGTCGTGTTGTCTGAATATTGCTTCTGGTTGTTAATAATTGTTGGTCAAAGAAAATGTAAACTGGGGGCATGGATGCTGGCCGAAAATGTTAACGCCCGCAAGAGAGACTTCTTTAGGTATCGCTGACCCAATAACTCGAAGGCTCTATTTCGATGGAATAGCAACGGCATCTACATGAGTGGAAGCAACATCCTAATTCCATCAAAATGTTTTTTAACTACAGGCCAAGGTTTGAGAACAGTGATTTCCTGGGACAGTTACGAGCTGAAAGAAGAGTTGCGAACGAAATAGGTCTAGACCTTCGTGCCAAATTCCTCAAAAATGTGGAAACGCTGTTACAGTCATTTCACCAAAGCGGCACATGTGATACACGCGATCTTAAGCCCACTAATGGCGATGCAATTGAAGTTATTAGAATGAAAATGAAGAGCGAGGCACAGAAAGTGCTCCGTGTACTCGATGGTCGGGTTGAAGATGATTTCTCAGAGTCAGAATTCGAAAAGCCACATGATGAAGAGTTAGAAGACACAAGCGCCAGATGCCACGTGGGTTCAGACTCACCAAAACAGCCTGGCTCGAAAAAGACGTATCGATACAAATGTCCAGTAAGTAATACTGTTTGTTATCAGCATAATACAGATTAATGTCGTCTCCGTAAGTTAAATCCAAAAAATTAATAAATAAGTCATCAAAAAGCAATCATATATACAGTCGGGTTACCATGGTGATATTTAAAGCTGCATCACTTCTGTTGACTTATAGTTCATATCAAAGTTTGATTTTCTAGTGACATAATTTATGACTCGGTATATTATTTTGATTGCCATGCAAAGGGAATTGTTTGTTATTTTAGTGATTCATGGATGTGGAGCTCAGCATGTAGGTCCTGTAAAAATATTTTGTATTTTCCATAACTTTATTGTGTGTTTTATTCATTTTACAGATTTGTAACGAAAACTACACACACATTGCGAACCATTTGAAGTTTTTTCACAAACTCAAAAGGAAGATGTCTCAAAAATAAGACTTCAAGAAAAGAGCAAAAGAATCAGGTGAGATACATGTATATAGTTGTGTCAATAAATAGATATCAGTGTGCATTGATCATTCATATTTGAAAACTTTTAGTAATATTTCCAAATTTGTTGATACAATGCATTGTTCTTAGTTGAACTATCTCTAAAAAATATTTATTTCATTGTTAAAGATATTCATTTCCTAAATTTTGTGGTTTTAAAACACATACAACTTCCAAAATTCCATGTATTGTACTTTTTTAAATAAAAAAACTTGGAAAAATGCTACTTTGCAAGCACTGTGACTGTACAGTGTGTGGTTCTTTCTGATGTAACATCCATGAGAATGTAATTGAATTTCTTACTTTTAATCTAAATTAGAAAAGTCCTAAGTAATCGGCAAGAGAAAAAAGTAATATCAAGATTATTACAGTAGCCCTACTCATCAGAACAAAGATTGTGATTCGCCCAAGCAACAAAGAAAAGCAGATAGAACAATGACTACAAAAAAGGAAGAGGCATTGTTCGACATTATCCTGCTTTTCAATGATTTTATTCTTTTTGCCCTAGCACCAGCTTCATTCTAACAGTAGTGGGCACCTCGATTATTACAATAGAAATGTAGTAAATAGTTTTTTTGGTATGTAATGTCCATGCTGCCTCATAATCACAAATAGTGAGTAAAATATTAAGCTGTTGTGAAAATGCAAATGTGGATGTTGTAAGGCCAATATGTTTTTTGTATATAAATTCATCTAAAACAGCCTATTCTTTGTATCAAGAAATCCCTTTTCACTAATCATATTATTCATCTTACATCTTCAGTAACAAACAGGTATTACAACCATTTTAAATTATTGTTTTCTCTTCTAGAGAAGCAAAGAGTGGAAATAAGAGGCCATTGCGACCTTGCCCAGTTAAGTCATGCAAGTGGGAAGGTTACCGAATGGATTATCATTTGCCACAGAAGCACAACATAAAGAAAGGGTCAAAAAGGTACAAGGCTCTTACCTCTCCATAATTTAACCAAAAATCAAAGACTGTACTGATGAGTCAGAGACTACATGCAAGCATACCTCAGGCTCATACAAAAAAGGGAAATAAAATGTATGTTTTACAGTAAGAATCACAAAACCATGACCAGACAAATATTTCAGGAATGGTTGTATCGTTCCTTGGCCAATCACAGACAAACAACATTCCTGAAAAATGTAATTGATTTGCACTGTAACGATAATGATAAGTAAATTCATAATACCATAATTAATGTACCTAAGTGCCAAGATCTATTTTATAGACTGACAAATTATTTCATTGTGTTGAAATATTTGAATATTGTTCAATTTTTGTTGTAGTGTACATGTTTTCAAAACCAAAAATAAACTGAAGTCAGATAGATTTATAGGTTATTTTGATAACACATATAGTTCATTTTCCACTGTTTCAGTGTATTTGTTTCACAAATAAGGATATTCTGCCATCTTGTAAGTCTGAGTATATTATGTTTTTATTGAAAGGAATGAAATTGTCTAGTTGTTCTTTAGTCATTGAAAGGAAATCTCTTTTACAGTTGTGAAAAGTTACTTTGAAATTCTCAAATTAATCATATATCAATGTAATAATATGAACTATCATAATAAATTATTCATAATTTTACTGATTTTTGATTGCATGCACAATTACAAAAACATTTATACAATAATTGTACGTCAGTAGAGCATTTTCACAAGTTCCATATTATTTATTACTTTAATATTGAACATCAAACAGTATCAACAAAATATATTGTTTTTCCGTTACTACTGCAAAACGACCATTAATGCTGTATGCTAACATGAAAATAAGCTATGAAAATTTGTACATGCTTCCCAACTAGATTATGAGTAGTCTTATTAATATTTGCTGGTAAGATAAGAAACTTTCTTATCGCTGACAATGAGTTTAAAACGTCCACAGAAATAACATTTGGCAAATTCTGTTGATCCTGGCACTGCAGTTTTAATTTACAAAACTCAACAATTGCATTTGATGTGGCAATTAAAAGACCAACATCTGAACTATTCCTTGTCTTTTATTCTATTTAGATTGTTAATGTTAAATGAGCTCTAATAAAAAGTCAAATACTAAAATGGAAAGCACTGTTTGAGTGAATGATACCAATAGTGGCCAATAATTAATTGTGCAGCTGTGATCGGTTTATCATCTCCAGCCTTGAAATGATTAGTTGTCTGCAACCTTTATTATCACTATCCTTTCTAACTATGCACATTTCACACAACTACAGACAGTAGTCAAGTCCTAAAGAAAACATTGCACACTATTGAGGCTGGATATGGCAAACCCAATAGTGTAAATTGTGTGTTTTAAGTAACCCGGGTATCAGAGGTCTGAGAGCTAGGGAGAGAGGAACCCCTTATCTCAATCTCATTCACAAGTACAGATGTATACTGACAAAGTGTTGGAAAAATATCCAAAATACTCCCAGACCAAAATATATCAATTAACAGCAAATTAAAAAAATAAAAAAACAAATAAATCAATACATATTGTTTTCAGCAATTAAATTTCACAATCAGGCATTCCTGTCAATCACAAAATGTATGAAAACCTTTTATAAAGAATAATGTGGACTGAAAAATATAGGAAATTTTGTACAATATTTGTGTAAGTTGCAGTTTTGAATGTTATAGTAACTTCCCAAAAGATATAATACATAGAGGCTTACAATAGAAGCTTAGACAGAAAAATGGAAATATTTAAAAACTTCAAATTAAAGTATTGTGTGTATAAAAGTAGGTGTTTCAGAGTTTTTATTTCCCTTACTCCAAAAGTGGAGATATCAATGAATCAATTTTTCTACAAATAACCAAATTTTGTTTAAAAAGTTAGAAATAAGTTAGCTACTGTAACAGTAGCTAGTTTTCAAAATAAGCAATAATAACCCATTGAAAATTGTTTTGCAAATTGTGAGAAACTGGTTCTAGAATGTTTTACAACCATGTTTGCTTATTATGAAAGTGGTACTCACTCACTCCCAGGTAACCATGCAAAGATACCCTCTCCTAGCTCTGTTGCCCAGGGGTACCAGATTAGCAATAAAACTGAGATACAAGGAAAGAATGCTTACCAATATAAAACATGTTGATCTTGACATTTTTTTAAAAATTTTATAATCTCAGAAGAGTACATGTTGAAGGAACTAAAATTGAAATTGTGTAAATTTGCCTTTAACACAAACATTTAGTTCTCAAGCTTGATTTGTTGCATAAGAATTGATACATAACTAGTACTGCAATTATAATCTCAAAATAAATAAATTAAAAATCTTCAGGGTTGACTCGAGTTAATCTTCTTATGGCTTGCTCTATGGCAGTTTCGAACAATGCATCCAATTTGTATGTGCCATTTTGGGATGGCATTGCATAATACAAGTGGTAGAGAGGTGTGCCATTCTCGAGCTTGATGGCATTAAGCTTGGTGACACTGTTGGTCATGTCAGTGAGTAGTCGATATTCATTAGATGATGATGGAATCCTGTCTAGCCAGTGTCCTTTTAGTGCTTTGCCACTTGATGCTTTTAGAATAGTGCCCAATTTCAGCGAGCACAAAAAAAGCCAAAACTTCTCATCCTCTCCTCCACTCAGCACAGGAAGGATGACACCACCATCATGCTCTGTGTCATGTTGAACATTGTGCCAAAGCCCCTTCCATGCATCTGTATCAAAATATGTGATGCCGTATGACTGTAGGATCCACATTTCACGATTACTGAATGTGAGATCTACAACCTCGGTTTCTTCTTCTTTTATGACACCACCACCACTAAGTGCACGCCTTGACACTCTGTCTCCAGCAATATGGGCTAACAGGGATGCCAGTATTTGTTGAGTTGCTTCTGTTGGGATGGGCTCTTGTTCAATTGGAGTCTCAACAGCATCATCACTATGTCCTTGCAATGGGGCTGGTTTGAAGATGATGCTTTCTTTAGCCTCAAGAATTCTCCTCATTTGCATCCCGCCATACATGAAAGGCTTCCGAAAAGGCAAATCTTCAGGAAGTCCCTCAACCTCAAAACCACCCTTGAGGTATGGCACTCTTGAAGGTTTTCCAACCATTTGACCTAAAGGTAATGAGAAAACTAAGTCAGCATATAATAATTATGTGTGCATATGGATTTCATCATACAGGTGTTATTTTTGATGATTACAATACATTCTTCATGATCTTTTAATGGTAGCTAACATACATCATATTCATGATTCATACATGCACTTACAAACTCTCAAGAGAATTTTAACCTAAAAACAAGCTTCTGTATATAATAATTCTGTTTCTGTTGTGAATAGTCTATCAAAGAAAATATATGGGTAAGCAAATAAAAAGTTGAAGTTGAAAAACGAATTGATTACTACCAGTATTTGTGAACCTGTTCTTTTTGCAATTTTAGCACTAAGATTTCGGAGAATGTAATAGTTTTCTAGGGCTGTTGAGACTTCCCAAAACTCGCCTATTTTGATGAAAATATTGTCTGGTGTATCCTTTTAGAGTTTTTTTGATATAGTTAGCATAACTCCATAGATACCCCTGATAACAATCATCTAAAGGCTTTCAATTGGCTGTACCATTAAAAGCAACTATAGAATGATTAAGAAACCTGTATCACTGAGAACAGAAAGTTTTATATAACATTGGAGGACCTCTAATAATTATTCACTATGGCTTGCCCTTATAGGAAAATAGCAATATGACATCATTAACATTTTTGAGTAATTATGATATTAATGATAATGTAAAAGCTAATATAAATATTCTCAAACCATAACAAGATTGAGTATATTGGTGGTATTTAATGATGTTGGTCCCAAGACCCAAACAACAATATCTTTTATAACATTTATGAATAATAATGTAGACTTTATAATAATTAACTAGTGGGGTATACTCCATGTGGACTTGAAAAGATTTAAAAGTGCTTGATTAGTATATAAAGCTATACTCTGAATGTGAAAGAAAAAAATTGGAAATGGATTTGAATAGTCAATACCCTGTTATTTGACACAGAGCTTGAAACCATTCCAACTTTTTGCATTCCAGCACAAACCTTTTCATTAATAACTATTAGTTAATTATCTGCGAGTGTGTACTCTCATATATTTGCTATGATAGCCAATATATGGGATTACACACTCCCAGAGAATTAACTAATAATTATTAATGAAGAGGTGTGTGCTGGAATCCAAAAAGTTGTAATCACAAAAACGTGCATGGAATGGAATCACACAAATGCATGCATACAATAATCATTGCAATCTTACTGTATTTTTGGTTGAATAGTGCTGTTATGTCTTTATATGTAACATCTTTGTTGTCTGCACCTGTAAATAAACATAATTTAGATGTTACTAACTACTCCAAGGGGATATTCCAACTGGTTTAGGGAATATGGGTGCTCCACAGGATCCTGATAATATTACCCTTGCGACAAATAAAAATATTTTTTGATAATAACCTATCAGATCCGAAAGAGTTTAATTCTTGGGTGGTGGTCACTGTAATTGAGGATAGTTGGTTATTTAGCATTGTAATGGTATGTGTATACCCTGAATTACTTGACAGGAACTGTAGACAAAGTTGGAAATGTAGTTCAAAAGGATACCCTATTTATGACTCAAAGCTTAAGCTTGAAAAACCATACCCTGTTCTGCAGATCATTCCCATATTCCGGAAGTCAGTATATGGCACAACCCCCAGCATCTTACAATTTACTCATGAAACTTTATTACATGTGACCTACATGGAGGTGTTAGATTTTGCAGAACTCAAACAATAGTGCAGAAATACTGCAAAAAATTAGTGAAAAGCTTACCACCAAAATGGCTTTTGAATTTAAACATCAACTCGGGATTCCTTGACAAAAAGTCTTGACCTGCAGGGGATCCAAAACCAAACAACTGTCCATCAGGATCTTTTTGTAGTACCGCAGTGCAACAGCCATATCCATCAAGAATGTTTACCTATAAGAGACAGTTCAACAGTTTCAAATGAACAGGCAAATATATTTTCAGCATTATGAAATAATGATGGAGTTAACAAGAAGCTTATTTAAGCTGACAGGAAAGAATTTAACAACTCGATGATTAAGGATTTAATTCTGCGACTACTTTATTCTTTTTCCTTCTTTCTTCCTCTTCTCCAACTTTCTATACTTCAATCTTTGTTTTTTACCGTATTCATATGGATTTTTTTTTTTTGTTCGTTTTTATGCAAAATTTATATGCTCAATTACTAACAGGATCTATCGATGTGGGGATCTGAAGTTTAACTTTTCACATTTGCCCCGACCCGTGTTGTTGAAGTATTTTGAGAACTGATTGAAATAAGTCAATGGAATCAATGTGGAATATAATATTTTGACACTCGTCAAACGCCGAGGAATTGAAAATAATATAATATGACTCACCAGCTTAATTATTTGATCTCTTATCTTTTTGACGGTCCTTTCAATATCTTCGGGATTCAACTCGCCCGCTATATTCTGCGAACTCTTATATAAAATTTTTTCTTCAGCAGTGAGTTTCGCCCACTCTTTGGCAGCAAACGAATTTCTTTCTACCATAGAAAGGTTTCGACACTGATCTAGAATTTAAATACAAAGTGTGCATGAGCGTTTAGTTTAATTACTCTCTTGTTTAGCTCTAAACTACTTTTCCAATTACTAAAGAACGACAAAAACCCTACTCGATCAAGCATAGCTTGGATTAATTTCACTTTGAAAAGAAACATAAAGTTTAAAACGGGTTTAACTTCTGTGTTGTTTGTTCGTAATATTATGAATGGCGTAGAAGAATATTTCATAAACTTTTACCTTTGTTGAACAGCTCCTTACAAAAGTTATTGTATGACGTGGGAGCTCGTATGCAGGGGATGCTTTTTACGCTTTTTGCTGACGGTGCGGTATCTTGATCACTCGAAGTCGAACTTGCCGCTGCTTTTCTCTTCTTTCGTTCGCTTCCAATCCAATTCTAAATATTCAATCAAAAATAAAGAACTAATAGTAAATCGAATCGGTTTTATTGAATTCAAAAGTGTATAACTAATTTATTTAATAGTAAAAACGCTTGGAAGATGTCACTACGGTGCGTGACATTCGCGGCAACCACCAGTAAAAGGGTCCGAAACACACGCCTTACCAGCGAGATGACAGAAAAGGATCAAGCAACATTCCATATTTACGCTACTATCTAACATAAATATATGGAATCTATAAAAGCATTTTAACCAATAAAGTCTTACCTTTACAGTTTCCTTAGTCACTTTGGCTTCTGCACTGGCCTGTTCAATGAGATCGTTGTGGGCTTGACCCTTTCCAGTCATGCCTTGGTCAAAATACCGAGACAAAATGGATCTTTGAACATCAGTTAACAGATTATTTTTCCTTGATGAAGCCATGATTAAACGATTGGTACAATACTTAAGTCACGATTGACTATGATCTAGATTAGCTATGGTCACGATCAAACGCTGGATAGAGGATATGCGATCTCTTGAGAAAGATCAGCTCTTGTTGACATGGTAACAGAACGACCGAAATGAAATCTGGGAATGTTTGACAACGAGAATGCTAAGAATGTATTTTGAAGTGGGCTGAGCCCAGCAAGGGAAATTTCTTTCTCCGGGGTGAGCCCATTTCCTCCGAGTGAACCGGGTGATATATTTGATAGAAAACATTATGTAGTTCTTCACTGACCCCAGTACATTCATGTTTTGACCAACAGGGGTACAAGAACAATAACAAAGGAAAAGTCGACTCAAACATGGTTTAAAATGGCAGGGAAATCTTTTGCGTTAACGTTTCTACTTTTCCTTTTTATCTTAACGGTGCTTCTATGGAAATTTGAAACAAATTTCTTCGGCCCAAAAGGTAGTTCGCTGGTTGTGTATATCAACTCCATAAGATCAACGAAAGAGACTGCCAAGCGGGAAATATCTACGCTCATGGACTCAAATCTAAAGACCAACGAAAATCGTTCTTACACAAAAAACTGCAATGGCTCATCGTTTACTGGTCGACATATTTTCAAGTTAAGCTAGATTTACATCTTTCTTGGAAGCAGGGAGACTGCCCTGTGGCCTGCGAGGTGTCAAGTGATCATTCACGAGCGAATGAGGCAGACGCCTTTGTAGTCCATGCGCGAGATTCGCACATGATACCTCCAAATAAATCCGTACCGTGGATCCTTCAAACACAAGAAAACCCTGTGTACACTCCCTCTCTAACCAATCCCAATTTTATGTCAAAATTTAATCTGTTGCAAAGTTATCGCCTGGACTCGGACTTCCCCGATCCAACTTTTACAAAGCCAAATGTGACACCACCAGTTCCCTTTAAGGACAAAGATGGACTCATTCTAGCCGTATTTTCCAACTGTGAACCCGTGCGGACGGAATACATGAGACAGTTGATGAAGTTTGTGCAGGTTGACTCGTATGGAGCCTGTCTAAGGAACAAACAAGGTCTAGTCAACAGATATGGTTCAGAGAACGGGAAAGAATTCCGAGAAGTCAAAACTGACCTAGCCAGAAGATACAAGTTCTCTTTGGTGTTTTTCAATCAGGATTGTGATTACTTCGTGGACGCACAACTAAGTCATGCTCTGAATGCAGGCTCAGTTCCCGTGGTAATGAGCACAGACAAACTTGACGAGTTCCTGCCAGGAAATCTCAAACGCTCCGTCATAAGAGTTCGTGATTTCAAAAGTCCACAGCAACTGGCGGAGTATCTAAAATACCTTGGTAACACTGAGGCAGAGTACAACAAATTCTTAGAGTGGAAATGGAGAGGTTTTGGAAATATCACTGACACTGTTATTGGAAACTTTTGGTTTCCGAAATATCCACTTTATTGTCAAATTTGCGTAGCTCTTTCAGAGCGCCGAGTACACAAGAATGGCCTCAAGCCAATTCCGTGCAAGTCAAGAACTTTTAACGACTGGGGAATAAATAGAGAAATCTAGTTTGCTCGATTTTTCAGAGACCTTACAAAATATTTGTTGGGTATTTTTTTACCATTCCAGTTAATTCGAAAGTTTTGCTTTGACGTTCTCGAACATCATCCACATTTGTACAGCAACATTGTTACGCGCGATTGAACCATTTTTTTTTTTGACGAACTATCAAAATTACTAATACAGTGTCGTTTGAACCGGCTGACAACAAAGGTGTTACATTTCAGCCAACCATCCCCAGCGGTTCCACCTCGCTCTTTAACCCTTTACGCCCTAAAATCAGTATGCATATTCTCCATACTGCTCTTAATACATTTCCTAAGGTGCTGACCAGGAGAATTTGTTTACCAATCAAAAGCTTATTTCGTTGGTGATCATTTCCTTTATTCTAATGACCATAACGTGTGATTCAGGGGTGATATTGTGGGGAGAAATTTGATGCTACTCACTCTTCGGGTTTAGATGGTTAAAGGTTGAAACTACATGTATGGTTCGACGTTGCTCTTTTGATTTATTTCAGAGAAAAACTATTTACATTGACTACAAGTCAAGTCAAGTGATCCCCATGCACGTGTTTACGACTGTGAGCAGAATCTTAGTAACACAGTAAAATCAACGCCTCCACATCGCACTTATTAAATATGTAAAGATTTTAAAGTGAGATTGTGTAGGAGGGTGAATAAAAAATGAATGAGCTTTAACGCTGCCATTAATCACGTTACGGAATTCTCGAAAGACGGGTGCGCTTTTCCAGGGGATATAAGATCTAGTGAGCCTGAATTGCGAGTACAAGATATCATTATCCGTACCATTTCGCTTCTCTTTTTTATTTATTGTTGTACGTGACAAAGTTTTTTACTTCAAAATCTACCAAGTTATGCAATGAAAAATGTTTAATCGAGCAGCCTTAAGGTTGAAGTAAGTTGCTGATTTTGCCACCATTTCATACAACAAATATTTTTTGTCTCTACATTTTGTTTCCACATTTGGCGTCAACTTTGATTACTAAACAGACGCAAAGTAACGCTCAATGTATTTGCCAAATAGTAAGCGAGTAGCGCAGCTTATAATATTGCCACATTTGTGATTGAACACAAGTACTTTTGTACGAAAAATATACCTATGATTCCTACCTAAGACAATGACCGCCAACGAATTCCCAGCCTTAAACAAGATTGTACAAATCCTCGAGTTCACTACCCTCCTGAAACGTAATCTCTGCCATGATATTGCCATGTTTATGTTGGTTGAAAAAAAAGTTAATACTTTTCGAAAGGTTTATCAAACAAATCTAAATTTAATACTGAATTTTATCTATGTATCAGAATAATCATTTGTAATGATTTATATAAACTATCCCTGGGTGTATGCCTTTCCCGCAGACTTTCATTTCCCAGAGTTGCCCGCTTATAAATTAGTTGGATAAATAGTTTGCAATTTACGTGTACATATTAACTATTGACACTGAACGGGGACAATTCCCTTGGTTCAACTTAACATAACACGTTCCTTTCAACACACATATTCCCGTTAACACTGCATAGGACGAACTTTAAGATAAAAATTTAAAAAAACCCTAAATCGAAGACCAAAAATTAAGCCTTTCACTTTTTAAACTCGTGTTAAGTTTCCCATCTGTATTGGAGACGAAGGAAATTTTTCCCGTCCACGTCACAAGTCATCGACCGTCGAAACGCTTGACTGCATTCTCGGACATGCTCATTCCACTATTTTTCGTCTACCGAGCCACACGTTTCCACTGACCGTCTCCCCGATCACGTGGGCAAAAGAAACGGAGACGACAGGAAACGAGAATGACCAAAGCATCCAATGAGTAGTGACATCATTGTTTCCCATTGTTTCCCTGATTGGCTAGTTCGGAAGTGAATAGCAAGTACTATTCACATCCCAGCAGGTGATGAGACCGAGTCGCCCGTCAAGAGTTTAATTTCTGACGATTTTTCGGTATAGTGAAAGAAATGAACCGAGTTTTTGGTATCTGTGTGGTATATAATAAAACAATTATTCACCTTAGCGTCTGTGAAAGTGGTGAATAATTGTTAATATTGCTAGTATGACTGTAAGTTTGTTAGTTCATTAGAAAAATTCAAATGCTCTCGTGCTCTGTCAGCTTTGGCAAATCTGATCAAATGAACCAGTCCTAATGATTGTTGTTTTGTAGGATAATTATTCGAAATATTGTTCCACAGCCTTTTTATAAACTTTCGGAAACTGTGTTGGGGGGTAGATGCAACGCTAATGAAAATGCTTTTTTTTTCAACACACAAACCTTTCATTCTCGTCCATGATGGAGCTGTACCTGTGTTCCCTTTTCAACCCAACTAATATTAACCTCAAGATCAATCATCCCGATGTTATATTTCATCGGATTTTCACCTCAGTCTCATCCATCCCCTTCCCTCCTATTAGCGCGCATGCACTCTCCTTCAGCCAGGCGTGGTACTCAGATTCTGAGTCAGCCGTGACACTTACATTAAATTAAGTCTCGGTTACTTATTATCACAGTACTCCAGGTTTGTACTCTTTCATTATTTAGGTTGGGGTGTGCACTGTTTACACCAAAAGTAGTAATTTCTGCCCCCTGTAACAAACCTGAATGACAGTTGAAATAATTTTTCTCACTACATACATATATATTTCTAGTTTTCTTGTTTAAATTGAAACTCGTTATCGTCAGAGAAGAAGACTATTGGCTCGATACTTCCAGCTGCCTTCCTCTGTTCTGCCTCTGGTGGCTTCATGAAAAGAAAGAGTAAATAATTCAATTAAGTATTATTATATGAGCCCTTTAGACCCCAGCATCGGTATACATATTCTCCATACTGTTCTCTATACATCTCCTAAGGAGCTGACAAGCAGAATTTGTTTAACAATCAATAGCTTCTTTAGTTGGTGATCATTTCCTTTATTCTCATGACCTTTATGTTTGATTCAGGGATACTACTCAGTGGCAGAACCAGACCTTGAGCTAAGGGGGGGTTTCTTCCTTCTTTTCTTTTTTTAACCGAAATAAGGGGGGCCTGGGCCCCTCCCCTAGATCTGCCACTGATACTGTAAGGAGAAATTAGATGCTAGTCACTCTCAGAAGTCAAAGGGTTGATATGTCATCCTTCAGTTTAGTATACTAACTAGATTTGTAAAATATAATCGAATGTTTGAGTCACATGAATAAGGAGAGTGGGAAAGATTCTCCAGTGAACGAGTCCTACACTTGACCCCCTACAGTACTTGTAATTAGGGACAAGCCAGTTTGTTGTATTAAGAATTATTAGTAATGATCACTGAGTCTTGATAAACAGGGCTACACTATTGGTCTTTTCAAGAGGGCTTAAATGCACCAGGAATTCCCCATCTCAAAATCTATGAAAGAAATTCACAGTTTGTAGTCACTGTCAAAACAAGGGTAACCCCTATAATTATTCTAGGTCCCAGTGCAAATAAATACAAATGAGCACAATGTGGGCTGGGGTAATTATGGGTAAACACCAAAACACTCTTCTTGTACCTCTTCCTACCCAAAAATACCAATAGTGCTGCACACTGCACAAACATGTATAAAATAATTTTAAAAAAACCCATCAAATTGGATACAAAACAACACTTTGGAAATCAACAAGTAACCTGTCCATACCTTCTGCTGAGAGGCAGTCTTTTTAGGTGATTTTTCTATTTCACTGTCCTCATCTCTCTCATCCATAATTTCCAGCCTAGCCGATCCCATGGCATTCAGCATTTCATCTGTGGTTAGAAAGAACAAAACAATACAAATTATTCAAGAGATAAGTAAATATGTAGCAATCTTTAGAAATATAATTAGTTATGCCCATGTCAATCAAAGAACAAGGAACCACACATAAAAAGTTACACCTCATGATTATAAACCCACCATCATCGTCATCATCATTGTAACCTTCCAGAAGGTTGGCAGTGGATGCAGCAGTACCAGTAGCAATGAGACTTCAAGGTTAAGAAACATAATCTATAGCATCTTTCAGTAACACCACAGACTACTCATGTTTCCAATCCATTCATTAGGAGTCAAACTCAGGAGTTACTTTTATCATTATTATTATTATTATTTCCAAAGGGGTTATGCTATAGGTGAATTTTTCCCCTCTCCTCCCTAATGCACTGCTGAACACTGAAGTTTGAATTTTAGTAATATCCAACATTGCAAGGAGGAATAGGGTTGCCCAGACAAACTTTATAGGTCTCACAACAAACTTGGATTTTTAATAAACTTTCCAGCACAAATATCTTGTTGAAGACTATCACAATCTGGATGAAAAGTGAGTTAAACTAAGGAATACACTAACAAAAAATGTGGCAACTCTCTCTGCCTGTGTAAAGGATACTTTGTTCGGTTAACATTCTTCCTGTGAAACATTCGCGCCAGCTTGTCAAACTTCTTTCTTGTACCTAAAGATTAGCAAAATGATGAAAAGTAATTAATAACATATTACAGAATTTAAAAAAAAAAAAAAAAAAAAAAACATGTACAGTTGAACTTGTATTAAGAAGCACTGTATTAAGTCACCCTGTATTAAACAGTTGGTTGTCAAAGTTCCAAAATTTTTCCCTCTTAAGTATTGTAATTTTGAACTACTTTTTTTTTTAAGCAGTCAACCCCTTTAAAGTAGTTGTGGTCACCCTTGACTAAGTCATACCTTTACTGATAAGCCACTTAAAGCAGAACTACAAATAATCTCTTGAGTCAAATTTATTCTCAAAATCAGTGTTAGCACTTTAAGTTTGAATTTATGCCAGGTCTTGCAGATTATCTTTCTTCTTTGGACTGTTAGGACAACTACATGATTGTATTATATAAAAACATCACCCATGTAATTTGCCGGTTAACCTGTATTAACCCTTTACAAACTAACATCAGTATGCATATTCTCCATACTGTTCCCTATACATTCTCTAAGGTGCTGATGAGGAGAATCTGTTTCATAATCCAGAGGTTTTCTCATGGGTGACCATTTCCTTTATTCTCATTACCTTAATATGTGATTTGTGGGTGATATTGTAAGGAGAAATTAGATGCTAGTCACTCTTAGGAGTTAAAGGATTCAGCCCTCAACCTGTATTAAAGGGTCACCCCAACATTCCCCAAGGGTGACTGCTTAGGGGTTTGACTGTAATGTAGCTTGTTTGATTCCTCACAGGAATTTCTTTAGCACGCATAGGATCAACAATGGCTTTTTTCCAGGAGTGAAAAATTCTTCAGTCATTTCTGTCCAGCCCCATGCTTCTTTAATCCTTTAACTCCCAATAGTGATTAACATGCAACTTCCCTTTATAATATCCATTCATTATCCAGCAAACAGGTTATGAGAATACTCAAACTTATCAGGTAGAAGTTGTTATCTTGATCTAATACCAAATTCTTTGAACTAATTTACAAGGAAATGTGTAGCAGCTAGAGGGGAGAATGAACAACTAGATATTGGGAGGTTAGGGGTTAAATATTGAAAACACAGTGCTTACTCTTTCCCATGTGCTTTAACTTCTCCCTCAAGACAGCATCATCATGTGGGGAGGCTGAATCTGCAGCTGGTGCTGAGTGTCCACCAACTGCTCCAGCAGTCTCTGAGCTCCCAGGCAACACTTGTGTTGGAGTCTGAGGTTGAGGTGCATGCCTACTACTGTTGCTTCCTCCAGCTGCGACTGGAACATTTCTGGAAGGGGCTTCTACTGGTGCTGTGCGAGAGGACAGTACAAATGCATTTAAAATCATACCGAGTACAACAATCTGTGAGAGATAATCTAGTCTTGGTTCTAAACTGAAATATAAAATAATGTAATGCAAACAAGTATGTCCAATACTATGGATCGGTACGAGTCATCTAATGTAGATCTTGTGCCCCTTACTAAGGAGACCAACAGTTTCTCACCGATTCGTCAATCCAAGCATTCAATCACTACAGAAACCATGGAAACAAAACAAGTTGTAATGCTGTGCTATCTATCCATGAATGTCATAAGGGAAGTTTTTTTTTACCATAAAACCACTGCACAAAGTGCACAAACAAGAAGGTCCTTGCACTACTAAAAGTGCCACATAAAGTACACAAATAGCAAGAGTATCCTTCGTTCCAAAAGTACTGCGTGAAGTGCACAAACAACAAGTGTATTCCTTGTTCTAAAAGTACCACGTAAAATGCACCAAGAAAAATTATTCCTCATTCTAAAAGCACAGCGTGAAGTGCACAAATAACAAGAGAAACCTTTGTTCTAATGAAAAGCAATGCGCGAAGTGCATAAACAACAAAAGCATTCCTTGTTCTAAAAGCAACACATCTCCTTAATAACATTCATGGATAGACAGTACAGCCTTTTGACTTGTTTTGTTTCCATGGTTTCTGTAGCGAATATTCATGGTTGACAAATTGTACGACTTGTGATTACATTAGACGACATGTATCAAGCCGTGGTATTGGACAACCCTCAATGCAAAACAGAAACAGCCTTTATTAAACACCCTTACACAATCTTTTACAAGCATTGCTTTGTTGCTGAGAACGTACAAACATTTACAAAGAGCGATATTGCTTATCTAAGACACCCACACACACAAAATATTTCATAAATATTATAATAGCCTGAAACTCATGATTTAACTACTTACTTACTTATATACATTTACAACCGAAGCTTTTGAATATAACTTACTCATGTTCCGAGATGGAACTGTATTTCTTTGCCCATCTGTAGATTAACAAAATAAAATCATTTTGAGTTTCAAGTGCATTTCATTTCATCAATACATACACTGTTCGACACAGGAGTGCACAGATTAAAATGAATCAGATATACTGTTACTCTCCTATCATCAAGGAAAAAACAACAAATAAATGATTAATTAAGTACTATTCTCACAACAGGTTTTTTCGGTAGTTCCTCATTACGTATTTTTAAATATTTAATGAAACTGAGACAAGGAGAAAACAATTATGAAACATTCAATTGCTGGAAGATATTAAAATTGAAATTGTATCCATAGCATACATCAAAAACCTCTTGAAAGTAGGCGAATTTGAAAACTGAAAAAACTGTACCACGTATATCCTGTTTCAAATTATAAAGTACTCACTTGAGTCTATGGTAATTTTGTTACTTCATAAAACAATTACATACCTTAACTCACGCTAAGAATATTCACAAACCTTTTTCCAATGACAACATAAAATCCTTATTATGCCTCAGCTCTCTCATAAATTCTTCATTCTGCAAGACCATGGCCAATTTTTCATCTTCCAGAAATCGTTCTAGCTCTTGGTCGCCCATACTGTCGCCAAAAACGCCGGTAGAACTCGTTGAAGGAGGACCGAGACGTAAAAAATCATCCGGCAATTTGCCCAGTAATGGTGGGTTCCATGCCGAGTAAGGTCTAGCAGGAAGCGGCCGAGATGGACTCCCAGAACTCCGCGAAATTTCTTGATCTCGAGGTGTGTAAGCTGGAGGCGGTTCTGAACGATCCACATCACTGTAAGAAGGTAAAGGGGGAAGATCAGACTGCGTTGAAGATGTTCCTTCCATGTCAAGTCCCATCGATAACAGTTGATCAATGGTAGCATCTACCAAGCCGTTGTTAGCGCGCAAAACTGCTTCTATAACTTCCCGATCCACGTTAGGAAACATGTGTTTAAAGTCGTTCATAGCCGCAGTGAAGTCCAGTTGTCTTGGCTCGTTATTGGCTTGACCAGTTGTCCGTGGCCTTTCAGGAGGACGTTGCATAAGGTTCGTACCTCCGAACATTGGAACCATTTTCAATTCTAGCTACCGTAGGTTAACTTTGCGTCGTCGAAACAAGAAAATACCGTTAATAAACGTCTGTTAGTCTGTCTTTCAGTTAAAGGAGTGACCAACGTTTTAGTTCAAGATTTAGCCCAAGGAATACGGCATTCCACGCAGAAATTCTGTATTTGTTTTTAAGCGGAAGGCCTTCGGTTCCTGTGTCTATGAAACTATGAAACTGACTCAGCTTCCTTAGTGTCTTATTGTCACCAGGCTCTGTCGGACAGATAGGGTCGAGCTACCCTGGCCGAACATGGAAGAGGGCCGAAGGCTCCTTTGAAACATTTTTCAAGCCTCTGTATCCATACCAAAGATTTTAGTGAAGGGTCAAAACATCCAATCAGTGTAATCAAGATAAAATTTTTACACGGTGGGTGACAGTAATGTAGAATCAATGATTATTTGAGCGCTCAGGGTAACTAAAATTAGAATGAATCGATCAGCGCTTTCTCACAACATGAGGGGACGCAAATCGTCTGCACTGTAAGTACATATCAAGCTCTGTAGGTGATTTAATCCCATTTTAATCCCATCCGATCTCACAATTTACGAAAACTTCATTATTCTTGTGAAAAATGATGGCCGTCTTATTGAAACTTGATGACAAGTATAAGCCGGCAAAGAAAACAGTGCAAAAGCAATTATCTGTCACATCGATGTCAGCAGCGACAGGATTATGAGACCTTACAGTCCCCATACATTTTCTCAGACTAAAAGTCTAAGAAAATGTAGGGGACTCTCCGGGATACTTACAGTACAGACGATTTGCGTCCCCTCATGACGGCAGTATGATTGGCTTCGCTACTCGCTGTCTATTTCGTGATAATTAGGTCCGACATAATCGATATTTGTATTCAGAAAGAAGAGAATTATAGCTCGGAAGGTAACCCGCTCTTCGACAAATTTGTTGTACTTTGTATGTAAACAGAAAGCACCTGTATGGATCACACATTAAGGTCAGGAGAATGTAAGAAATGATCAACTGCAAAAGAGGCTCTCGATTGTTAAACAAATTCTCCTTGTCAGCATCTTGGGAAATGTATATAAATCAGTACAGACAACATGCATATTTGTATTAGGATTTAAAGGATTAGATCATGAAAACTGCGAAAAACTGCAATTACCGCCGGTGTCTTGACGTGTGTGTTCTCTTTAAAACATCACTGTTGTGAATGAATTAATAATTTTCTTTTGTAGCTACATACAAAAAGATGACTAGACCACTTTAAGCGAAAAAACAAAAGCTGATTACAAGGGGTTTTTCTCGAAGCTTTTGTTCTTAATAACTTGAGTCACCCCGCCGAAAGCCATTTTTCTGCCGTGCCGCCTTGTGGCGTGATTACGTCAATCAGTTATAAAGGAAAACTGTGAGCTGCCAAAGTGATACCGCTATTTCAAGCACTTGAACGATGAGAAGGAAGCCGAGCCTTATAAATGCTTTCTTAGTAGTTTCTGGGGTAAGTACAACAAGTAAGCTAACATATTTTTTATTTTTTGGGGGGGCACAACAGGGGTAACGAAAAGTACCTTGAGGTATAGTGGGTGTGATTTTTTTTTCAAATTTCAGTGAGTCTGTTAATCTCTTCCATAGAAGAGTTTTCCCCGGTACGAAGTCTGACAGTGTTTCTAGAATTGTCAAAGTCTAGGAGTTGATTTTGTTGCCGAAAGATCTCGGTCAAAAGGCAGCCTGGAGTAGCGCAGATTTTTCGCTCTGAGCGACAAAAATCTTCACTTACACGATCGCTGTTGTTTGGCATATGTTGTAATTGTAAAGTAGACTCCCTGTCATATCTCAGTAAAGAACGTCGCCAAAAGAGAGAATTGCTATCTAATGCAACATTTTCTTAACATTTATAGCGTATTAGAATAATCAAAACAAAAATAAGGAGTGGTGAAGTTTTGGAGTTGGATTCTCAGACAGCAATCTTAGCGCCTCTCAAGTCTTGGATTTTGAATCATTCCCCTATATAGCATAAGAATCCTACCAAATATTATAACCCACGAATATTTTAAATATTCAGAATTATCTTAGTATTTTTTCAAAACATTCGTGGGCTCTTAGGAAATCTATTTCAAACTCTTAACATGGATGACAATGATATTTATCGTGTTTGCTTATCAACAGGAGTTTTAACAGTAATAATTTCTCAAGTAAACAAACCTCCTCGTTTCTTTAATTGCGACGCTGGAATTCTATTTTTTTATTTTTTTATTTTTGGATTTCTTCAATTCCTCTCTTACATCCTATTTCCAAAGAAAGTCTCTTGGAGTATTGAATTAAATGATTATACTTAAGTTTTAAAGACTGTCACGGCTGAGATATTTTTTTACACGTTCAATGACTGCAGGTGATGACCTTTATAAACAATGGAACTTCAACCTCACTTCTCCTTGAAGCAACAAAAGTAACGAGTGGACCTATTTATGCAGGGTAAGAACTTGTCACTGAAGTACAACAGCGTTAGTGCAAAACTCATTGTTGTCTTCGGACAACTTTTAAAACTAAATGAATAATGAAAAGATAAAACTTTACTTCACCTTTTTTTTTTCTTTTGCACTGAGTTACTTCGTTAAAAATAGCATTGAGATCAACGTGTACAATTCGACCTGAAATTGTCTCTGAAACGATAATTATAAACAAATGTCCGTCACCAGCCTTCAATTAATGTGGGAGTTAATTTGTTTCATTTGTGGAAAAAATGTTTGCAGTCTTCAAGACCAAAGTACCCAAAGTTTTGTTTACACTTGACATTCTAATCTAACCTTTTCACCCAATGTTGATATTTCTAGTCTGTTTTCTACAAATAAACTTCCTCATTAAATTTTACCAGATAGATTGAAATACGTCGGTCGTAATAGCAGTTTTCCAGATTTGAATATTATTGGAAAGCAAACCAATTTTCAATTGAAAAGTTATGTAGATTCAAGAATGCTTAATGAGTAAGGTAACGAAAAAGGACCAGTGTATTTTTTCAATCCCTAAAACCGAAAAATTATGATATTTAGGATGAAAGTGCATCTAGCTTTTTCAACCTTAATCATTCTTCAGTACATTACACTGCATTTCTGTTGTGGAATTCGACTCTAAGCTGTTGTTCAAAAACTTTATCTTCCTTTTCTTGTCTTGGTCTGCAGTTATACATAATTTATGTTTTTTTTCTTGTTTATCAATTTCGCTCTCATGTTACGAGTAATCGACAAACTATAATTGGTTTTTAAATGCCGAGCCTACAAATTTTATAAATAGATTCAAATTCAAATCAGTTTAGGATTATGTAGGTGTATCATCGTAAGAAATGTTTTTTTTCTGACCGAGCGATATTCATGTCTATATTAAAACCATGCGTTTTTGCTTTCGAAGATGCGTAGTTATCTTTACAACAAATAAAATTCTTTTAAAAAAGCCAGAACATGTGGATAAAAAATTGAATAGACGGAAGGGGAAAACTTCTGTTTAAACAGCTGTAAATGTTGTATACAGTCCGTAATCTAAAATTGTTTATTCTTAGAAATAAAATCATTGAGCTAAATGTTTTTGAACGAGCCCATGGTTGTATTGCATGTTGCATCAGCAGAAAAGCCGTAGAAAGAGAAGTGAAATCATCAAATAAGTTATTTAGATCGCACATCCGGTGGAAGAAAATTCTGGTAGGAGATGCTTTTTTTCGTTCCTCTTGAAGCAGCTTTTGTTATCAAAGCAAAGCCTTGAAAAGAAATTAGAACAGCCAAATACTAAGACTTCATTATAGTTCAATCTTTTATTTGTTTGCTATATCATTCCCCCACAAATAGCAAAACTGCATATATCCAAGTCAACATCACAAACCAAACCCCAGCAATGGACAACACAACTGAAGTGGTTTTACTCTTCACGTTACCAAGCTACTTCAAGTACGAACAGTTCACCTCAAACGGATCACGTCCTCCTAACAACGTCACCGTGACTCGTTCCGATAAATTTCTCTCCCTCACAATGAAGGTAATTTTATAACACATCAATGATGTCAACCACGGGAAGGTGGGGGGCGGGGGGGGGGGGAATGGGGGATACGCAAAAATCATATAGCATCCTTCCCATAGGGGATACTGTTAGTGGTAAAATGCTACCGGTGCATTTCCGTGTACGTCGAGGTCCTTTTGGCTATCTCTCTTCGATGACGAAGAGTTTCTTTTTATTTCCGTTTAATAAAACCTTCGCTGTTGAAGTTCATTACCAACTTTAGAATGGTACACTAGGATAGTGGCTGGCTCAGGGCACGATTGTTGTTGCTACGTGGAGACCGTTTTTTATGGCTTCATCCTATCACAAGATTATTATGTTACTTGGGCTGGTGAGAAGGAGAAGAAGGAGTCAAGAGGGAGTTAAACTGCAGTGCTCATAACAGCCGAAAAAAATCCAGTTTACAAGATTTCCCGTCCAATATTCGTATGGCAATCTTACTGATTTACCAATTTCATTTATCTTTTGTTTGGAAAAGTTCAACGAGCTCTTGATTACTGAGTACGTGGCTGTACAAGCAGCATTTCAATTGGATCCGAGCAACAATTTTCATGACGACTTATTTCATCACGCACCATGTAAAGTGAGCCTGCGATACCAAGGTCACGACCAACGCAGCTGTGAATCCACAAATCACGATGATGTCATGATGGAGATCCCTTTCTACAGTCCAGGTGAGCAGTTCGAAGGAAATCTTCAACTGAGTATAGAAATTAATCCAAGGCTGAATTGGTTTTGCTGCACTGCGCTCTAGCATAGATCCTAGAAACGTCCTCTATTCCACTGGCCAGTCGTAGCTTGGTAACATACGTTTTTAAGCGCTTCAGGAAGTTGATTTGCTTTGAGTTTTTATTTGCTCCTTGCGACATCCTCCTTCGCACTGATTGGTCGTTAAGATTGCTTTGGGATTAGTTTTATGACACTTGATGGGTGAGACTGCTCTGAAAGTTATCTCTAAAAACTTTGTAATATTTCGTTATTTGCAGTTTGTGAAGGCTTTGGGTCAGTCGGTCTATCAAGTGGAGAAGTAAAGGATAGCCAAATAGCAGCGTCTTCTAGTCGAAAGGAAACATTTCTGTCATACTCCGGAAGAATAGGAGATAGCTTCACGGGATGGATCCCAAAGAAGAGATCAAAAAGAGAATTTCATACCCTGCATTTCTTTCAAGTTGATCTGAAATTAGTCACTGGTATTAAAATGGTAAGATACTAGCTGAGGCTAGGGAAGGTTAACTCTTGCATTGTTCTCTTTGTTGTATACCATCATTTAAAATAGCTGATACTCCGTGCAAAGAATCTTATTCAGTAGTGACATGCTGCACTCCGCACTGCAATCTGCATGATTTAATTCTAATAGTTTCGTTTCACTTTGTGTTTATTTGTTTATGTTGCTTACTTATTCATTTTGTATAGCATTCGCGTACCTGTTGTCTAGTAAGGAATTATGCTATTAAAACCTAAAGTTGTCACGGTAAACTTTGTCACCATTCTACAACATCCTTGTACCAAGTTTTGTTGGCATTGACGATCGGAGAGACCACCCGCTGAATTGAATTATGTTTTATCTTTGTTTGTTTGTTTGTTTTTTATTCATTTTTCTCCGTTTTCATTCTTTTTCTTTCAATCTCTTTTCCCTTTTGGTTGATGAAACGATGTACGAAGAAATCATACGATTCTTATGCACACCAGAGATCATGTCCGAAATCGTGACCCTAACCACGTTTTTATGTTATAGAGAGTAACCTATCTTCTCGCAGAACGTCCTTTAATGTGCTAAGAATTTAAGCGAAGAGGCCGCCATTTTGAATTTGCTTATTAGCCTGGCTGCTTTGCAGTCTCACTCCTCGCATTGGTTTTCCCTGATCTCCTTTAAGATGCATGGCCCTAAGGAAAGGTTAGGATAATAGCCACACGCTAAGAAGTCTGTTTGATTTGTTTCTCAGGCCGCTATCCATGGAGTTGCTCGGGAAATCCCACTCGAAAAGATCTTTCTGGTCACCAGTGAAGATGGATTAGAGTGGAAACAGAGAAGACATGCGATTGAAACAGCGGTATTCTGTTGTTTATGTCGTTTATGCCTCACTCTTAACACCAAAAAAACATTACGATAGCGGCTGGTATGATCAGCCTTCAGGAACACTTTTTTCTGTGCTCGTGAAAACCATTGCAAATGATGCATAGCAAGCATACACACATACTCACGCATATATATATATAATATACGAGTAGTTGACATTAGCCAGAAGCGTTGCTAAATCTGCGACTTATTTGTTCTCACAAGATTTAAAGCACTTCAGGATTGTCATTTAGTTTATAATAATTGTTATCCGAATTTTGTTGGGCTGCGTTTAAAGGCTTCAATTTGAAAAAATAGTTCTAAAGTGAACCCTTAATTACACGAAGAAGAGCTTTCTTCCGTTTTATTTGAAAAGGTTGATGGCATCGACAGCGACACGGTTATGGTCATGAAAAGTTTAAAGTATGAAACCTTCGCTCGTTTTGTCCGGATTGTTCTTCCTCCCTTTGACAAGCGAATGAAGGTTGGAGAAGAAATGCCCGGTTACAAAGTCGAGTTATTCCACTGTTTAAACACTGGAAGTGTCTGGCATGGAAACACTGGTATGAAGCGAAAGCTTTTTTTTGGTAGCTTTTACACACGATAGTTGTGTTTGTTTGGTATCACAAGTTTTTAGAATAATAGGAATCCAATACAGATCCTCCCTTCACCCTGGCATCCATTCATCCTGATCCTTGCCATGTGGTAGAGGCTGCTGAACGGTAGTGAGACGTTAATGAGTGCTGGCCTGTATCCACTTTAGGCCGGTAGTGGCGTAAGGGTCCCCTCCATAAGCAAACATTTATTTTGTTCACCAAATAGTCTCCGTTGTCTGTTTACAGACTATCTTATTGTCGATAAAGCAATCGACATAAGAGCCACAAGGAATAGAAAATACTGCAGAGTACAGACCAAGTTATTCATCTCCATTGCGCCCTCGTCTCCCCAGACCTCTGCCTTTGTGCGTACGGGGACGGAAAAAGCATAATCGTTTTGAATTTCTCTTTCCAGTGCCTTCACCTATTGGACTAGGGATAGAATCAGGTGCCATCCCTGACAGCCAATTTACGTCGACCTCTCAATTGAGCCTAGAGTACGGAGCCCAGTTCTCGAGGCTGAACTCACGAACAGGTGGAGGGGCGTGGTGCGCTGCGTCATGTGATCCTTCTGTTTATCTGCAGATTGACTTGGGCCGAGTCCTTCTCATTCGAGAGGTAAGACGGTACATTACAAACCTTTGGTTTATCTTAGAGCTAAGTTTATCTTAATAAAATACCCTTGTCATAAAGAGTTATCTTCGATTGGCCGTGGTTGTGTGCGCCGTAGTATCACTCTTCGATAGAGCAAGTTCCCGTTGTAATGATCGAATGCTGTAAATATCTGAAGAGGTGTGAATAAAAGGAGAAAGGAGGGAATGGACTTGAATTAAGAGCGAAAGCAAAGCCAGAACCACCATGGAAAGTTCCATGACCCAGCCTTTTGCTCTTCTATGCTCTTCCTTGTGACTGACCAGCCAATGTTATTGATGATTTATCGACAGTTGGACGTGCAAAGCAAACATGACGATTCAGGAGGTACAAATACTGTGCTATCATTCTTTTTGGAACACAGTGCTGATGGTTCATCATGGAAATACTACAAGGCAAATGGAGCAAACAAGGTACCCATACAAATTTGTAATAAGTCAAGAGACATTTTCTCACTAGCTATTCAGAAATTGATAGCTTCATACAATATCACCGTCGAATCAATCATTAAAGTCATGAGAATAACGTAATGGTCGCCAACTAAAGAGGCTCTTGATTATAAAAAAGGTTTTCCCGGTTCTATGTGTGCTGATTTTAGAGTGTAAACGGTTAATGGAACATTTGGAGGTTTTTTTAAAGTTGAAACAAACCGCTGCCCTTTGTTTTAGAAATTTGCCTCTTTGTCTGACTTAGTGGCTCTTATTATGCTCTACAGCTCTTCTTGGGAAGCACCTTGAGAAATCTAGCAATTCGACACAAGCTCTTGATTCCAGTCAACGCGCGATTCGTTCGGTTTCGACCCAAGACCTGCATCAACCAGGCGTGTATGAGAGCGGAATTATACTTCTACCCAGACTTCGGTAAATTTAAATGCTAACTTTAACGATTGTTACCGATGCCTTAATAGCATTTTCATAACAGAAACTTTTACGTCACTCCTAAGAGGCGCCATCGTTTGTTTACAATATCAAACACAATATACAAATACTTAGTCACTGCTACCTCTCAAATAATTTTGTTCCTTAAATTCATATACCACTTATGGGCAAAAATAAGCCTGTTCAATGTCTATAGTAAAACACCATACACGGGGGCAAGTTGGGAACAGTAACGTCTGCTTGTCTTGGTACATTTCAGTAGGTCAAGATGTTCCTGTCGTCTTTGGGCGAAGCTTTCTCCTAAAAGCCACAACTAGCACGTTAATCGTTTGTAAATCAGAAGTAAGGAGGTATGTTTTATTTGACGAGGTCTAAAACAGCTGCGACATTAGCATAAACGGTTAAGCTTGACAGAATGCTCACACTAAAAGAATTGGTTTAACTGGTTAAAATGGTGAATCAAGCTGATTTGCTTCAACTGGAAAATGTGCACAGACTAGCTGAATTGGTTCAACTGGTTAAAACCGTCAAACTAGTTAAAAAGGTTAAGCTGGACAAAATTCCCAGACCAGCAGAATTGGTTCTACTGGTTAGAATGGTGAAACAAGCCGATTTACTTTAACTGTACAAAATGCACTAACTAGCTCAATTGGTTCATTTGGTTGAAGTGCTGAAATTAGCTGAGACGGTTTAACTGGGCAATTAGCATAATCTAGCTGTTTAAATTAAAAATTCCTTGCCCCAATTAGTAGACAATAATGTTGATCAACCAGCTGCTTTTAATCACATTTTTCATAATTTGTTTTGATGGCAATGAAACACATAGTTACATGATTAGGTCCATTTTTTTCACAAACCAATAAACCTTAGTTTCATCTGATAATTCCAAGAAACATTCAACCTGAACACCTTATGAATTTCTTTCATCTCTTCAACTTTTATTACCTGTAGATCTGAACGACACTGTAAATCAACCTCTGATGGTGGAGGGACATGGAAAGGTATGTGAATTATAGCTAAATCCTAGTCATGAGTAATAAGTCTTGTAAGATCATAAATTTTGTAACGTAAGACCAGAACCAAGAAAATGGTAAACTGTCATTTAATGATGACTGTGCTAAGCCTGTTCATCTTTCTCAGAGCTACCAAGAAACGTCTTGAATGTCATTGCCTATGACCCAGTCGGCGATACTCACTATGGAGTCGCCACTAACAAAAAGACCTTCTTAAGAAACAAGCGTTCCCCATTTATGGAATGGATTGCAATTTCAAACAACATTTGGAGCAAAGTGAAGGATTCTCCAACACTTGTCACAGCTACTGAAGTGCCCTTCATGCCTGTGCTGGAAACAGCGGTGAAAGATCCTTACGACGCCTTGACATTGCCGGTTTCCATCGCATTTATGCGGAAAAGAAGATCCGCAGCAAGTAATGATATGTGGGGATGTAAGTATCAGCTAATATTTCTTTTTATTGTCTCAAATTTTCAATGGACAGGGGCATTTGTGGGATTTTTTAAAAAAAAAAGGGGGGGGAACAGGGTCACAGTGAAATCAGGTACTTCCCTGACAGTCTTATGTATAAAGATTAAAGTGAAATTCTGTCGCTATGTGTTGTTAACTTAAAGGATAGAATCATCTCTCAAAGGAAGGGGAGTGACAGACACCCCAGGACCTCCGAACTACATCTCTGGGGGTGACAGGCATTAACAACCCCGGACCATTTGGCTAAACCTCTTCGATAAATGGCGGGACTAATTGCTTTTGTTTTATAGTTATATTCGTGTAATTTAGCATGTTTGGCCTCGACGACACTTTCTGAAAACAGCATATTGCACCCAAAAGCCGAACTGAGAAGGCTAAATTCGTGCACTGAAAAGAATAATAATCATGCCCACCAGTATGAAAGAGGTCTTTAACGTCCATCAATCCCATTTTTGTAGCATCATCAAGAGACGTCCTCTTCAAGGCGAGTGGTGCGACTGCATGGAAGACAATCCTCAGCTGGATTGATTATCCTTATGGTAAGACACATTATCCGGTAAAGCAAAGATTTAATAATAAGGGGAGTGATTGTATCTTCTCTGAGTGGTCAACTCTTCAAACGAAACAAGGGTGGAGCGAATGTGGTCTATTGAGGGTGTAATTACAACCATAAAATAGAGGAATTAAAATTGAGTGTAGAAGAAAATCCTGGATTACATTGGTTTGGTTACTTTACTCAACGATTGGTCCAGAAACCACAGAATTCTCACTGGCTCCTCAGGGTATTTCCTTTCCTCGGATTGGCTATTTTAATTACTTTGGTTTTGATTTTACGAAACTCAGCCAAAAAGCGCCCGATACACTAAGAAATCTCCGATGACGAGGGAATATTACTTCTACCAAGATCTCGATGGTGCATTTCTCATTAAGAGTGAACTGCGTTTTGAGAATGAAATTGTGGCTCCCTTCCTCTAACAGACATGAAGGTAGGCTGTCTCGGATTACCATGTGAGAGTGGCACATGCGAAGTAAAACCAGATGGAGGCTATAAATGTAAATGCTTTCCAGGATTTAAAGGACGCCATTGCTTCCGAGGTATACGTAAGAATTTTAATAGACCCGTTTTATTGGCTTTCTCGTGACAAGGACAAACGAATCAAATATCAAACCGACTGAATGATACAGCTAAGACTGAAAGCGAGATTGAAATAAAGGCCAAAGGTCAAACCTCAAGGCATCCATGTTCCTCGTGTCCGAAAATCCAATATTATGGAGCATTCATGACCCCTCAATCAAGGAAAATATATTAATGTAGTTACATATGTCTTCTATACCTGAAATCTGAGATTGACGAACGTCAATCAGTCCAAACCTTTCTCCTTAATGTTATCACGATGTAAAGGCGGGTATAATGAAATTCTGCCTTGATTCTTTTCCACAGATATTAAAGAATGTAATAGCAATCCTTGCAAAAATGGAGCTCAGTGTGAGGATGAAGTGAACGGTTTTAGTTGTGCCTGTCTCCCCGGGTTCACAGGGAACCAATGTGAAATTGGTAACTATGAGAGTTATTTGCTGTCGGAGCCGCCAACCCTATTAAAAGGCGAAGCCCTCTCAATCCCCTCGTCCACTTCTTTACGATTTGTTTCATTATGATTTTGTCACTAAAATATGCTCTTACTGACAGCTAACTTGGATTCCTATGGATATGGCTTCTCCTTTGTTGACCTGCATAAACTAGCAAATAAAAGCAAATTCAGGAACAAAAATGAAGACTAATCCATGACCAAGTTATATCAGGTTTCCTTGATAAAAGTTGGACCAATCGCAACTCTACACATGATTGGCTATCAACCATATGGTGAAGCTGAATAGGCTACTGCGGTAACTCTTGCCATTTATAACGTGCGAATGTTCAAGATTCGTAACGGTAGTAAGGCTTGTCCCATTTATTCTCGGAATATTTTTAGCAACTTTTAGCGCTTGGAGCAACTGTGTGTGGTTCTAGCAACCAGGAGGAATTTTTACCTTTCTCAGCAATTTTGAGCAAAATATATGTTTAGAGCACACATCAGGCACGAAAAAGTCAATTATATCATGGAAAACCTTTTTTATGCGAATTTCTTGAATGTTTATAAACCTTTTGAACACATAACCTGTCACTCGACAGTGTTTCGCGGGCCCATTTGTGATCCTTAGCTAATCTTATGAGATGGTAAGACGTCAAAGGAACCATGTGTTTTGTTCCGTTAGACTTGAGAGTTTCGTTAAAGTTCATGATTTCTTCCGAGCAATTCTTTAAAACCAACTTTCAAGCTACTTTATTTTTCTCCATTGATATTAGCAATTGTTGTGAAGAGAGAAACACACAGCCTTTAATTCACGTTTATCTTTACGTATGAAGAAATTTAGTTTGCAACTTTTTGGATTTTTAGCAATTTTTTAGAAACTTTTTGACGTTCCAACATTTTATGAGCACAATTGGGTCAGGCCTAACTTTGAGGTACCTACCTTCATCATCACTTGTTCTATAACTGAGTTTTTTCGCTTGCCCGCCTGTGCATCACTGCAGTCACTGTATATAAACTAGTATTCTAATTCCAGACAAAAGCCATTCAGAAAAAACACCAGTGCCCGGTCAGTCCGCTTAAAACATTTTTAACCGTTTTGTTTTTGCTTTTTCTGCAAATGTTTTTGGCGAATATTATTTCAGATATTGATGAGTGCGCCAATAATCCGTGTCTTGGCGGAGTCTGTAACGACCATATTAACAATTACACGTGCATCTGCAATCCTGGGAAAACAGGCAAACACTGCGAGTTCGGTAAGTTTTAGTTGATTGAATTTGAAATTATTGCGGAATCTTTAAGAATGGAGAAGATTAACTCAGATTCCACATGAATCTGTGGAAAACACTTGACCTAATGTTTCAAGATATATGCCAGCCTCGAGGCATTATTCAGGCTTTATACAGGAACTCGAGGTCGCAATCAGTAAATTTCATCATATGATCTATAGAAAAAATTGATTTTTCAAAACTTCTATTTTAATTCCACTTTAATCTACTCCATTCTTTGCTATTCATCTTCCTGTTTGATCTCTCGTGTTCCTTGATGCTTGCAGTTGTCTATCCAGGTAAAAAATCAAATGGCGCCTTGGTCTTCCTTCGTTTTCATCGACCTCCACCCTCACCCTTCTCCGTCCGCTCCCCTCGACAACAGCAACCAGTCAAGAAATCAACTTAGGGATTTACCTTTTGGTTTCGGTGATTTTTTCCTTAGCCTGAGCAATAAGGCCTTAACGTCATTTTTCTCTTGTTCTCCCCAATGCAAAGATACAACGTGTATGATCAGTAACCCGTGCCTAAACGGAGGAAAGTGTAACGCAACTTACGGTGGAGGATATACATGTCAGTGTGATGTCTTATTTACTGGTGTTCATTGTCAACTGGGTGAGTCTGACTGTCCTTAGTTATGGTACAAATAAAGAAATGGTAGGTTCCCTAAGCTCAGTGTTATAAGGGACCAGTAATTTTTTATCGCCTGGTGGGTGGGGCTGGGGGGTCGGGTGATGTTTAGGGGGATCACATGGTTTTCAGAGGGAAAAGAGGGGGATCAGTCGTCATAGGGATATTACAGATATCCCTATGGGGAGGATCCTCCAGCCCCCCCCCTCCCCGCCCTTTTTTCCAGGTGTTAAAAATTGTAACTGGTCCCTCAAAATTCTGAGGTACCTGTGGTTTTGACAAAAATACCTGCAATTTAAATGTCAATAAAATTCATGTTTTCAAGTACTCATTCCTTTCCTTTACCATAATTCACCTTTTTCATAAGTACCAGATGAAGTTGAATTCGTCGCCGAAACCGGTTTTTTTGTGTGTAGGATAGCAAATCTTTTAAATCTTTCATTTATAATCCTGAAACTTTGAACCGATGCCCCGCACTTTACCTCGCTTTACCAGCGTAATCATGATCCCGGCGGGATGTTCGTAGGACGCCGAAGGGGAATAATTCCCAAATTTTTCGAGTTTCCTTCCAAATTATCAAGAAGGTTTTAGCCCGGAAAATCGATGGAAGGTGCAATCTGTTGGTCTGACAAAATCATGTTATCTAGCGGTTTATCGATAAAATAAATGATAGGTTTTCGACCCACCAGAGCGCACATAGTACTATCGTGACCTTTGTTTTATATTTTCTCATCATCAGCACCATTTAACTGCTGGAGGTCAACCATAAGTAGCGATTACCAATCCTGGCCAATCACAGACAAGTTCGACAAAATTGCCTTTACGCTGAGCGCTGACCATTACGTGCTAGGAGTAAGAGTCGGATCGACTTTTCCAGAACGAGTTGACATCACGGTAACTATCAAGATAACTCACTCTGACGGGGTTTTAATCGTCACCAAAACCGTTCAACGTAGATTCCCAGATTGGACAAGTGACCCAATTTACTTCGACCAGGCAGTTCTCCTGTCTGGTGGTCAGCAGTACATAGCAGCTTCGCTTGTGGAGGCACCGTACTACGTTTCATTACGAAAATACGAAGAAGGGGAATCCACGGTGCAGTGCAGTGGATTGATTGTCACCTTCTCCACAGTTTCATCCGCAGAATTTGCTGATTCGAATGGTTCCAACGTTTTAGAAGGACGAGTTCCAGCTCTGATCCTGAGGTCTCCATGACAGATTCTTTCCGTACCTCTTATTAAGCATCACAGAGTGTCCTCATTACCAACAGGATCTCAATGAAGTAGCATCCCGACGGTTGAGAGTTCAAAATAAGCCTCTTCTACGGTAGACAGTTGTATTTTTGACCATTCCGCTTTTGACGGTAAATTTTTCAGAGAGACGGTCCGGTTATTCTCATGATAAAGAAATTTCAGGTCTGAACAGAATAAGGATTAGCATCAGAACTAGGCATCCGAATTCCTCGTGTAGGACTTAGATTGTTCCTTTGTTCCGTGCTTGCGTGAAGGCGAGTAACATCTTCAGTTGTAAATAAAATTCTTTTTCAGAAATTCAGCTTATGTGACACGAAGATCATACTCTTTTTACCTGTGAAATGTTGGTACCTATAGTACTTAGACTATTTACTGACTTAACGTGAAAGGATTGTGGAGTCGTATCGAGGCTGCCCATCTTGAGGGAAAGGGCAGTGATATTTAATGGTTTAAAACAGCCTTGTAATTGTTGGATTGAAAAAAACGTGTTTATTTCCTTCCTTTGTTGTAAATTAACTCAAACACTCAGCAATTTCAAAATGTGTGTTGTAACAGTTTTAAAAAGTGTGTGTGCTTTTCTATCCCTTTGCAACCGTTACAAGTTACTAATTATGTAATAATACAAAATATTTCACGATAAACGTCGTGAAGATGTATTGTATGTATTGTGCGCTATTCAGATTTTCTGCCACATATTTAACGTATAATAGTTTCCACAGTAAAGCAGCTGGAGTGAATTTTTGACGTTCAATATTCACTGCTGTAAATTGATGTCTTTGAAAACAGTAGAGGATCGACGAGTGTCTAATAAATGATAAATACTTTTTTTATCACCCTACGTAAGTTGTCGAAACACTGTCATAACTTCTGTGTGCCAACAATGTTTTGAGTAGCAGATGTAACTCGACACTTAAATCACGGGATGTAGCAAAGGTCTGAAAAGTCACGCTAATCCTTCACTATCTGCACCAAAACGTGTCTACGAGTACGAAGACTAGTGCAAAATGACAACAGTTATGAATCTCTTCCTGCTGATTGCTTCTGTTCTCTGCAGCTCGGCTGCAGCTGTTCAGCCTTCTTGCACGGAGCTGTATGCTTCGTACTTTTTGTCGCAGAATTTCAATGAGACGATCGCCCACACAATTCACTCCATGAGCGTGCAGGGCCTTCGCCTGTTTAACCCGAGAGCAAATGAGGATAATCGAGTTCCTACTGTGAACCACGACATCCGTGACGAAGTAAGTGCTGTGGACTTTGCTTACCTCCTTGCAACATCAAAACAACCGGCACACTATTATAAATTCGCCTCATAGAGAAGAATCATTACAACTGCAGGTTAGCACTAAAACCTCTAGGTGCCCATGAGCTAGTGAGACCTTGTCAAACTCAACCGTGCAGTCTTTGGTACAAGTTAAGCCATAAAAACTTCTCAATTACAGATTTACTTTTCTTTTCTTAATCGTCACGTAAATTTGAAAATTGGCTGGTTTAGAATTGGTTGGACATTCTTTTCAATGATTGTTAGCTGGCACTTTTAAAGTGTGCCTAAATTTTCGCGCTTGGTACATGTTGGAACTATTGAATCAAATTACAGATCACGCAATCAACGAATTAACAAAATTAGCTGAAACTTCAACTCTTTGAACCCGAAAAGAAGGAAATGATCACCATCTAAGGGAGCTCTTGATTGTTAAACAAATTCTCCATGTCAAACGTTAGGAAATGTATGGAGAGCAGTACAGAGAATGTGCACACTAATGTTAGGGTGTAGAGGGTTAATCTAATATGTTGAGCTTCTAGTGATTCTAGCCCTCAACAATGGTATTTTTTCCCATAAAGGTCCCGGGCTAGACTGGAGTGAGCTGTGCCATTCATTTTGTGAGGCAGATACAGAAGCAATTCCTTTTTTTTTTCGCTTAGAAAAGGCTGATTTCAATGAAAATACAACAGGGACAAAATCATCATTTCAGAAAAGATCAGATCAGATCTGTCTCTAGATTCTAAATTAACGAAAAGGATGCATGATCCGATCTTTTTCAGTGCCCGTCTGCGTGCGAGTGTCGATTTTCCTGGTAGAACTTAACTGCTCGGCCGTAAAAGAGTAAGCGTCATGCACAATCATTGACAAAGAATGTAGTTCTGAAAATCGGAATTAACGCCTTTTTATTAGAGAGTAAGCATGGCGCCCCACGAGTGTGTCTGGCTCTCATCGAGTATGATTGGGTGCGGAGGGCAGAGAGAGGAAATAAATAACAGTGCAGACCCTAAACAACTCACTTTGTTCCTCAGAAAAAGCTGGTGCTACCGTTTGCTCCAGAAGAACCCCGTGGGGAAGATTTCACCACTGAGACGATGAATATCATGGACGCCATTTTGAGCCGGATTGGTAAGGACGATGACGGCCTGGGTCCGAATTGGTCTTCAACTGAGCGAATCGTTCACAAGTTTCACATGATTGACGTGTGGCACAGAGTAAGGGAAGTTTACCAAGAAGTGCTAGAAAACCCGCCGCAGGTAACTTAAGTATAGCGACATTTGTGTTAGGAACTGGTCATTGTTTATCGTCGGGAGGGGGGTTGGGGAAGTGGCGGGCGACGATTTTGGTTATGTTACAATAAAATCTACCAGATCCTCCCCTAACGCTCTGTAGTATTCTAAAAATCCTCCCCTTATTGGCAGTCCATTGTCTAGGACCCACCCCCCCCCCTTTATTCAGTGTTAGCGAAGATCCCCCTAAGATCCCGCTGAAAACCATGTGATCCCCCAAAAGATCCTCCCACCAGCCCCTTTCCCCCGGCAATAATCCGTGACGTGTAACCTGTCTCATTTTTCCTTCTTTTTAACCATTTTTCCCGTGTACTTTCAAGATTGTTCTGAATTGTTCAAAATCCGCAGGATGATCTGTGCACTTGCCTCTTGGACACTTCATCAAACGGCATCTACCAGGCAGTTCACTGGGTAGCAGAGCATTACAAATCAGGCACACCCATCACCCTGTTAAACCGACCCATCCCTAAGCTGAAGGACGCAAAGTCGTGGAAAGTGTGGAAGAGTCGTCTGTTGTACTACTACAAGCGACCGTCATTGTATGACAGCAGCTTGTTTCTTTACTGTGCCACTAAGCATTTCTGAGCCGGCTGTGTTAACCACAGGAAACTCACATGGCAATGAGCGTGGAAATATTAACTAACGCGCTCATTGTTGTTGTCCGCTAAACCCTTTGACTCCCCCCCAAGAGTGACTAGCACCTAATTTTTCCTACAGTATACTCAATGAATCAAACATTGCAATCATGAGAATAAATGAAATAATCACCAACGACAGAAGCTCTTGATTGTTTGACGAATTCTCTGCCTTAACAGCATGCTGGCATAGAGTAGAGAAGAGGCGAAACATTTGACCATTTTAACCAGTTGAGCCAGATCAGCTAGATTGTGCTGTTTGGGTGGAGAATAGGCATACAGCTGATGTTGGGGTGTAAAGGCTTAATAATTCTTCAATATACTCTGTCTTTTGTTTTCGTTTGGCATACAGCCTTTCAAATTTCCCCATCAAATGACAGGTGGCAAGAAATAACACCTTTCTGCCTATCTGCCATACCTATTCCTCATCTCGTGGTCTTTATTTCAAAGTGGTCATTGCCACAAAAATTTTCCGAACTCTTTCAACAAAGAGAGTACTTAATTTCGAGCTAGGGAAACGATTTGGCGTGACGAATAGCGCAATGAATTCTGGATGACGAGGATTTGTATAGTGCGCATGCCCTGGCCAGTATCGGAGTGCGTTGTGCTCTCAGGCCCTGGACAAAGATTGTGTGCGACACAGCAAGATTACACCATGAAATTATTTTAAATCGATTAAAAACATGGAAGTGATAACTGGCAGATACTCAAATCTTATATCAAGGAGAGAGCTGCGTCAATGAAGGCCTCCTTCTTAGGAAAATATATACGCATTACCACAAATCAACTTACGGTCACTGAACCATTTGCTATTCCTTTACAAAGAACAGCGTCAATTTTATTCATACCTTTATCTACGGGAAAAGGGCCCATAAGGCAAAGGATTGACAAAAAGAGATGCATGAGTCCTTTGAGGTATATTAGCAGCATTGCAAAACAATTCTTCGGAATAGTGATTGAAAAACAGGAAAACGAAAGGAAAGGGAAAACTTGGATGAAGAGTAATAGGACGACCGGTTATAAGTCGTGAATCTACCTTCACAAATTTCGCAGGTGTAGATATTTCTCTTCACCGATATTTTAGAACTGGAGAAGAATCGAATTCACTAACAAGGGCTCCTTGGCAAGCGCCTAACAGGAGGGAATGAAATTATGGTTTAGCTTTTAATTTAGTTACAAGAAATTGAATAAATTCAAAACTATCATCTCTTCTGATCTCCGAGATCATCTATGCTATCGTCATCAATCTGCAATAATAACAAAATATCGAACTTACTTATTTGGATTGGCCTGAAGAAATTGTACAAAAAAAATGAAAAGAAAGACTCCCTTCAAAATGAAAAAAAAAAAAAAACTGTCGGTGAGGGAGTATGGAACTTAGAAGTTTTGTCCCTTAGGTTCTTTTACGTCTGGTTCCCAGATCGCAACATGGTGGCCACATTAGTTCGGCGCATAAATTGGCTTCCAGTCACGCTGTTGCGGCCGTCGCCTTGGTTCCTGTATGGGACATCTAAGCTTTCGTGCATGCGTAGTGGCGGCATCTTCGAACGGTGCCATAAGGCAACAGAGTTAAAACCTCTTTAGCACGTAATTTAGTGTTAACAACTGAGTTTAAAACGTAAATTGGCCACTGTAACGAGTAAAAAAGCTGACATTTCGAGCGTTAGCCCTCAGTCAGAGCGATTGACAAAGGGCTAACGCTCGAAACGTCAGCTTTTTTACTCTTTACGGTGGCCAATTTACGTTTTCAACTCAGTTGTTAACACTAAATTAACTGCTATACTCTCCCACCGACGCTGCACCACAGTTTAGAAACTTACCCCCTTTAAAACCTCTTTACATCGTTCAGTTTCTCTCGATTTGGAACCTAAAGTTGCGTTTAACACTGTAAACAAACAGCGCGAGTTTTCTCGACGCCTTCGTGAAGGATTTTGGATTAAAAGTTTTGATTTTACTTGGTTAATCACTGTTCGCGGCAACACACGCATTAAAACTCTTTCGAGCGGTTCAAAATTTCAATTTTATAACCTGTTAAGACACAGGTGAAGGAATGTTCCCTCCTCTTTCTCCAATTCTAGATTTTTTTTTAAACATCACAGGAAGGAAAGACTTTACCTCTGGCCATTTCTCTGGAATGAAATCTAGTAGATCATCTAGGACGTCTCCCTGGATAACAATTTCATCATCACCCGTCACTGACGATCCACACGAGTACTTTTGGGCGAAGCTCTTTGCAGCTTTTTTTAGGTCAATATCTGGAAAGAAGTAGCAACCATGTGAGAACAGTGATGTCTGACTGGGTGCCATATTGGAACAAATGACATGGAAGGTTGGCTGTTGTTTTTATCAAACTGGATATAACTATTTGACATGCAAGTTTTCTTAAGGAGTAGTACTGATAACAAAACCAACCATGAAATATCACATGATCCAAAATGGAGAAATTAACCCTTTAACAAGAGTGACCCTTTTTAACATGAGTGACCAGGACAGAATTTCTCCTTACAATATCAATATATCATCGTGCAAAAAAACAATATATATTCACACCCGTTTTCAAAAACGTTGCAAATTTAAGATGTATAAATTATCAAATATATACACCTTTTTATTTCTCATTAAAAAGAGAGACTTTTTGACCAGAAAGCAAAAGATATATATATTTAATATATATTTTCAATGTTGCAAAATTTTTGGTGTATAAACATCTCAATTAGAGAATTTAGTTGATGCAATAACACATTCCCTAGACTAGTAAACATCATAAGTATTGTATGGCAGACAGAAAGGAGAAGTACTAATGAGATCTGGGAGTGAAAGAGTTAAAATGTTAAATTTTTACAGGACAAGCTTTAGTCTAGGGGCCTTTAACAAATTAATTGTTCAAGTCTAAATAAAAAATTATTTTTTTCTTTTCTGCCAGCACAGAGTTGGGTAATAGCTAGAGAGTGGAATTATGAAGAGTGCTCTTGACCACATGACTCAGACTTTAGAGTATCAAGTCAAGGTGAAATGGCAACACTGGCAAAAAGGCTCCTTTCCTGTGTTACAAGACTGCATAACCATATGTTGAATTTAAAAATAAGTAACTCTTTCCCCAACCTCAACCAAAGTTCCTTACCCACTCTTTTTCAGTGCCTTTAATATAATTCAAAGAGCACCTAACACAGACTAGATAGTGTCTTACATCACAACAAAGCGATACAAGCAATCAGAATTAACAAAATCAAAATAATCTACACCTACCAAATGTACCCAGTCCAGTAACAACAGTCACATATTTCTTCTTATTTCTCTGAGCTCTTGAAAGCGTTACCTTTTTTGTTACATTCTTAAAGAAAAATACAATTGCATATGTAGTAAGTCACAAGTATAGAGTTCAATTACAATTTACAAGTGTGAGGTCTACAGAAATACCCTTTCTAAGTGCCTGCGCAATTGCTGTACCACTCAAAGTTCAATCTACCATAGGTGAGCAAAAAAATTTTTCTTGCAGCAGCAGCAAGCCATAGTAACTCAATGGTCTAATATCCACCCTTTGCATCCTAACATCAGTTTGAATATTCTCCCTACTATTCTACATACATTTCATTAAGGTGCTGACAAGGAGAATTTCTTTTACAATCAAGAGCTTCTTCAGTTGGTGATGATTTTCTTTATTCTCATGACCTTTATGTGTGATTCAGAGGTGATATTGTAAGGAGAAATTAGATACTGGTAACTCTTAGGGGTTCAAAGGTAAAAGGTTTAGACAGAACTACACATATCTACTTACATAATCCCTTATCCAATAAATACTTAAAAATTATAAATTGAGGTATTTTGTGATGGACGTGATAAGCTTAAATTAATAAATTCAAAAGCAAAGCATTTTGTAAATGCTATATACTGTGGTTCAGTAATCTCATAATATCAATTTCAAGTACCAGAATGATGTGTGACTCAACAATGACAATGCCACAATATCCAGGCTGTGGATTTCCATAATTATACATACTGCACTGTGTATTGTATTGTGCATTGTGTATTGTATTGCACATTGTGTATTGTATTGCGCCATGACTGGCTGCATTACTTTTAGCTCCCATCCCTTCTAACTTTTAAGTGTTTTTAATTTTGCTGAGTGACCTTAACTCTTGAAAACTTTACTGCTTGATTTAAGCAGATTTCTAGGACTTTCCAGGACCTGTAGTCTTCTCCAGGTCTTTCCAGTCTTGGAAAATGTCAAAATAAAATTTCAGGACTTTCCAGGTTTTCCAGGACCTACACCAACCCAGAATTCATCACTAAGCACAAATCAAAATGCGATAAACACTTTGCAGGAAATTCACAGGAAGCATTCAAGCCTCATTATTCAAGCATCTACCTTTTTCTTGGGTGCTCTGACAACCCCTTTGCCACCTAAATAAAAGTAAAAGAGAAAAAAGAGCTTAGAATCCTAAGCTGTGAAGTGCTTTAAAGATTTCTTACATCTAATCTAAAGTACTTGAAGAAAGGCTTTCAATGAAAGTGCAGATGGAACCATACAGGTCAGATGATAGATATCTTATACATGATCAAGGCTGTGCTTTAAGAAAAAGTGGAGGGAGCCCAGTGCTCTGAAATTATGAAATCCAATGTGCCAGGCACATGCTTTTAATGAAATAACTAAGATGCCCTAGTTATCAAAGAGCAAAAGTAAGGCACCAGGAGCCACCAGGTGCTGTAAGAACACAGCCCTGGTGATATTTACACACCTCTAGTCTGCTTTTTTTTGGCTGCTCCTTCACTTACTTCCATATCACCCAATTGGTCTGCAACTAAAACATCACTGACAATTCAGCATGATTATCTTAGATGAACAATTTTGTTTGGTGTCTATCATTGACAAGAACAGAGATCTTGGCTAAACCTTTCAAACAAACAACCTAAAACATCAGGAAAGCTAGGAGTCTAGTTTGCCAAAACATCATAAGACAGTACACTTTTCATTCCTAAAACATTCCATCGTTACTGACCAACTTATGAGTTCATACCTAAGGGGCACAATGAGAATTGGTGTTGTTTACAAAATTCTATCTCTAGCCCTGATTTCTAATTGGAGAGCCTGTTTACATGGAGGCAGGGCAACCCCAGTAAGGTGAGGTAACCTGCCTTAAGGTCTGGTAACCTGCACCCTTCCATGTTATCTCTCATTTTATCAATCTGAATTATATTCAATTGATCACATTTCACTCAATTGGCACATTTCACTCAAATGAATCACTCAAATACTTACCCTGACCAATAAGTGCCTCATAAGCATCAGGAATATTTGCTTTTAACCACTCCTTGCATTTCTCATACTCTGCAGTGTATTCACAGTACTAAGGAGTAAAACAAACATGTCCCTAGGCTATCTTGACATTATTGTAGAAAAAATAATCTTTCAAGAGTAATCTTCATGCAGAATCCGCCATAACCAGAGGAGAAGTAAAATATAAACAGCTGCATGTTTGATTATAAAGAATACATTTGCTTCAACCCTCTAACAACTTCCAGAAGTGATTAAAATATAACATCTCCCTGTAATATCCATACATTATCTAGCAAACATAAAATAAGAATACTCAAACTTATCAGGCGGAAGTTATCTTGATCCAACACTAAATTCTTGTCACTAATTTATGTGGAAATTAGTAGCAACTGATGGGGAGAATAACCAATCACATCTTAGTAGTTAAAGGGTTAAACTCCTTGAAAGACAGTAGATTTCAATGTAAAGATTTCCTTGTATCAGTAAGTTTGAGGTGTCTCTTTTGATAAACTTTTCTTTTGCAGGGGAGGAGTTGGAGGTGAAAAAAGGAAATAATGAGAACAGTGTAGGGGAAAACACGCAAAGATCTTTCATTTTTGAAGCTATCACAACATTTTCAATGTATTTCCTAGTTATTGCTACATTTTCAAAAGTACTGACATGTACCCACGTTTTTAGGCAAATATCACAAGTAATGAGTAAAAAAAAAAAACAGGAATTCCGGCACTTCCCTGCGGTACCCCTCCCTGGGTTAGTTATGAACAAAAATTACCCTACCCCCCACCCCTCTTCCCTATGCAAAGCCTATAACTGTACGTAAATTAAAACCTGTCAAGGAGAACAAAAATGAAATGAAAAACAAAGCCATTTAGAACTCGAGAAAGAGAACTTACCTCCAAAGGTAAACTGCACACTGTAGCGGGTTGTCACATGGCAATCGAACGACAAGTTTGATTTCAGGGGGGCGAAGATGAAATTGAAGAACAGAAAAACTCTTTCAAACATCCCTTCGATAAAAACTTAGCTCTCTCGACTGCAAAACACTGAAAATAATATAAATTACCTCCACAGTACTTTACATCCAGGGGATATTCGATCTTTTCTTCCATTTCACTAGTATTTTCTGTAATAACATCGCTCTCTACTTCTTCCGCCATATTGTTTTCGTAGATTTTTGCGAAGTTTTACTGTACAACATGTTTGCAGATGCAGCATTATAAATTTTGGATCCAGTTTTCCGTCGTTTTCCGTCAACAGAGCGTCCGCTGTCCATTTTCAATACTGGATGCTATGACGAGTCATCGTTCAATTCGCCTGCAGAACTGGCGTAATTTTTTTTCTGCCCAATTTGAGATAAATTGACGTGTTCTCAACAAATGAATATCCTGAAATTTTTACATGCATATTATAAATGATGGTAATAGGACCGAGTCGAGTCCAATTTGGTCTGTAATCATACGAGTGATTATCAAAGTCGGACGACCGCGAGGCGGCCGGGAGTCTGATTTGTCAATCACGAATATGATTACAGACAGAATTGGACGACAAAAAGTCCTGTAACCAATTAATCATAACTGTTAAAATTTCTGAAAACAAAAAATACATTTAGAACAAAAACGTGCAGTAGAGACACTATCTAAAGTGGAAAATTCCTCAATTTTAGAAATTCCACAGTTTTTTTCCGACTAAGTGGTTGCTGCTATGGTTATTATGATCAATTCTATGATAGGTGGATTTTGCTGAAAGAACTTAGTATGATTGCCTGCTTCAACTGTCCGATTACACGGTTGACAATGGTGTCATCAATTTCAATGAGAAGGTTACAATGAAGATAGTTGATCCTGTCAACAATCAAAATCCTGTGTCTAAAACGTCACATGACGCCAGTATAAATAGAAAAACAAATACTATTACAATAACAGTCTTGAGAATAATAACGAAAAAACCGATAAACTTAGATACTTATCTCAAATAAATACAGTAACGTCGGATGCATCACATTTTGGTTTTCAAAATGGAGGTGAATTGATTATTTAAGAAATAGGTTTTTAATCAGGTTTCTTTCATAGACAGCTTCAAGGCATTTGCAACTATCTCAAGGTAACAAATATAAATATTAAAAACTGTTCTAGAATTTTAATTTTGAAGATACACGGAGTCGTTGGATTGATATATCTACGTCTCACGTTATAGTTTACCGAAAGGAGCATCCATAACACCAGATTTTAGCACCAGTTTGCTGGAAGGAACTTATTCATCACTTTTATGAAACTTTAAAAATATAATTTTCAACTGATTGATTAAAATAATCGAAACATATACATACATATATATATACATATATATATATACATACATATATACATATATATATATATATATGAAAGGAACTAAAACAATTTTTTATTTTAATTTTATAGACAAAAGTATTGAAAAAAATCAGATGGATGAAATCAAATCTTTACACCTATTTTATCAGAAAAGAAATTTGGCTATACTAGAGAGCATGCAAACATTTCAAACAATTCAATTGAATTTATCATGTAATTTATCATCTTGTTGTATCAGGTACAATAGCAGGTGGTGTGACACTCAACCCAATTGTATTAGGGACTAAATCCGAAGCAGGTGTATTGCTTAAGACTTATGGTGACATAAAAAAATTATAAGAAAAAATCGAGCTATATAGTTTTGCTTACACATCATATGAAAAAAAAAGATGGTTGATTTGCGATCCTTCATGAGAAGCAAATCATACGACGATCAAGATTATTTGACTCAGCTAAGGGTTCTTGATTATATCGTTATCGATATGTGTCCTTTAGTTAACAAATAAGAAGTATTCACATAAATTCATCGCCGAATATTTGTTTTGATACCATCACCGATTAGTGTTTGAATTCTACTCCAGTATTGCTTATAACATGCTAATGTTCTTTTTGATATGGATATTGGTATATTTTTTTAATTGTTATTTCATAATTTTGAATATTCGTTTAAAAATAAACTTGATATTGATCTTTCTCTTTCGATTATTGTTGATCTGATGTAACACACTCTTAATCTAACCCTTGGCAAAATTCTCCAAAATCACATTTTATCGTTCGTTGATATCTGCATGATATTTTTATTGCATAAAAATTAGACAATATTACACTCGATTTTATTTTTATGTCGCTACCATGTAACGTCACGCCACAGCTGTGTCAGCTTACATCTTGCAAGTTTCACAGGCACAGTCTAGTTCATGGGTCCATGGTAGTGCTGCCTCGTGATGACTTTTAAAATAATCAACCACGGTTTTACCATTCCTTACAAACCATATAAATGGTAACTTACATCTTAACACCTTTTTATAAGGACTAAAAAGCTTGTAAAACATTCTAAGTTGCCGAGCTCTTGTTTTCTTAACTCTGCATCTCGAATCAACCCAATCATCGAAGTTACCAGAAACTCGCTTCATACTCTTTTCCTCTTGAAACTTTTCAAACGCTCGACTGAGCCACATTCCATACACGAATGCATTCTGAATAACATAGTTTTCGACAGTCTTAAAGCACTCATCGCAATGTTTGATGTAGTTCTCATACTCGACTAACGAAACTTCGCCTTCTGGAACTAGATTTGGAACATCAAAGTGCAATCTTTTTCCTCTGATGTAATTCTCTTTCATTTGGTGGACAAGTGAAACAGCATCACTCTCAACTGTAAATGGCGATCGCTTCTTTCGCTTTGGTTCATTAAGAGTCTCCAACAATAACTGTGGTAAATCAGGTGACCCAAATGAATCTGGCCAATCTTCAAGAGTAGCTTTAGCTTCCTCAACTTTGTCGTCATTTAGTAATTGAACCGCATGATCTCGTTGTAAACAACAATTTGAATACAACTTCATCCAATAGTCAGCAAATAACCGGACCTTGTCGTTAATAATGGGTACGTTTTGATAATAAAACCCATCGATGATTTCCATGTCAACATCTTTTTCAAAACCAGTGTCACATGTCTCTTCATCGCACAAATCAGATATACCAGTTTCACTGCCAGTCATTTTAAAGTCAAGCTGAATTATTTAGTACAAAATTTCGTCTTATTGACAACATCCTGTCATACGACAATCATGTGATTTGAAAACAATGGCAATTGATGACCATTTCCTCGGGGAAGTTCCTGTTGTGTTACGTAATTGATTTCCTGTTTCTCCTTGAGAATGTCACGCAATGGAAAAACGCTGTGAGATCATGTCGCTAGTCTTCTATAGCGTTCAAAAAAAAACTGCTCGTATTTCGACACATGTTCACTTTTGTGATTCACGACTGTTGGATTTTTACCATGATAGCACGCCACAATACATTTTGCTTTTACACCTCCTTCAAAATGCACTGCTTTTGAACCCCTCCTCAAAATGCACTTCTTGTGTTACGACTTTTGATCTCCTTTTCTGGTTCACGACTGATGGATTTTTTCCTGCGATAATATCTGCTTTCTTACCCCCTTCTAATTGCACTGCTTTTTACCCTCCTGTGAACACATTTTTCGTTTTTCGTTTTCCGTGACAGGATTTCAGTTGTGAGTAGCGTAGAGGGGTATTCTCTCGCAAGATTCTGAACACCTTAACCCGTCTAATTCCTCTCTCTATATATGACCTCTCGCTTGTGAGGTTCTCCTATTGTGAATATCTTCTTCCTCAGAAAACTGTTTCTTGCCCTCCAACTTGACTGGTGTTTCTAATCTGACCCCCAACCCCGATTATCCAGGATGTGTTGAACTAAAAACCCTTTGTCAGCAAGCCACCTGTCCCCACCCCTCCCCCCTTTCATATAGAATTTCTTGTCTGACTTACTGCAAGGATGTTTATCGCTTTGATGAACGGTCGATCTTCTTCTGGCGTTCTCATCGTCCTTTGGAAACTGGTGAAACGTAAGGGTCTTATGGACTCAACTGACCACCAAAAACGCATTTAAAAGGCATTTTTTACAAGCCTCACCTAACACCTTCCTGGTATTGCGAAACTGTGTTTACATTAAAGTGGTACATTTTCCCAGAATGCTACGCGCGGAGGCATCTTTTTTCGTATGGTCCACAACTGCCACGGCTATAACAAGAGTTCCATTGAGAACACAAAAAGAAAGGTCTTACGATCTTTCATCATGAAAAGGGCTAAGACAAGAAGAATGACTCTTCACTCTTCTTGACCTCGAATTCTTTCAAAGATGTAAATTTCCCCGTCCGTGTCTAGTTTATCAAGTACGCGTTGCCTCTTATGGATAGATTTATTCGATGACAAGAATCGTGATTGGCATTAGTTCTATACTTTGATTTAAAAGCTTTAGATTATTTTATTTCAAATCAGTTTTTCAGCAGAATCGAGGCGAGAAAGAAGCTATTGTCTTTTATTTTTCTGTCTCTAAATCCGCTTACCTGAAGAATCTGCTAACCTGTAAAGTGAGACTATTGTAACGTGACCCGTCACAGAAGTAAGTTTACATTGAAGTTTTTTAATTTAAAAACGAGATAAAGAATTGATTTGCGTTTGTTCTAATTGCGAATTATAAATTTAATTCTTTTAGATCGAATAGTTGTTAAAGCTTGGCTTGATATTAAGTGGTTTGTGGTGGTCATTTGAGCTAACCAGTTCCGAGTGAGGAAACAGACCGTAAAGGTGATACTCCCTTACTTTTCTCTGATCTTGAATAATTTTTCCCCTGACTTTCTCCTGACCCGAAACAACCATACCTGCGACTCAGGGAAGAAAATTTTTAGAGTTTGCACAAAGGTTCTGTTTCGCATGCCTCAGCAAGTGATGTAATGTTTCGAGTGTTTATGAGAACATGAGAAGATTAAATGTGATGTAGTAAATAAGAACGGGCGAAAGTGCGAAGAAACTGTTATCTGGAACTCACGAGAAACCGATAAGGGGTCTTTTAACCAAACAGAGAGTACCACCAATTTTTCAAGGATCATTGGTCGAGAGCTATGTACAATCAGAAAATAGCCTATAAACTGGCATAAAATTGTAACCAACAGTCAACTCTTTCAGCTGTCAACCAGAGACAAAAGACTATTTTTATACAACAATCGGCACTCTGAATGACGTCATATCACTCAAAAGGTCAACGTAGAAGGAAATTTTAAAAATGCCAGAGACGTCAGCTTCTAATGACTCATCGTTTTTACGTGGTAATTCCTTGCAAACCCTTTTTTATAAGAAAGGTGGTCTACTTTTCTTTAAGCAGACAAAACATTTTCACAACTTTGATAGAAATTGACCCAACAATTGCACTTGCCTAAGACTGCCATTTTAGTTGTAACCTGTAAGGACTGTTAGAGTATGGTTATTTCATCCTATTATTAGCCTAATCATTCATTTATTTATTTACTGAAGTTTCAAATACCAATACGTCATTCCCAGCCAAGAAAAGTCATTTTTATGTCAACAGATTTAATATTACGTGGGAAACTGCATACACTTTAATTAACTGAGGAACTAAGATTCCTCTCAACCAGTTTTTTAAAGAAAACTGGTAAGCCCTGATACGAGCGAGCAGGATAAAGAAAAAGAATTGAGGCCCCCGTAAGGATCACGTCGGACCGCGGACCTTCCAATATCACGGCAAGATGCTCTAACTTCTAAACCACTTAGCATTCCATGGTAAGCCAGGCCATAAATGTGCCAAAACACACAATTTTGCCTTGCGATCGAGATTCAGCTTTTGCATCTTCGGCAATCTTAAGTGCTAGAAAATATTTTGGTAACCACTCTTGCAAATTTGCAGAAGACAAATGGACAGTATCTTCTCAACTGGTTGTAAACATGGACGTCGATTGTGAAAGTAGGGACCCGCTTCCTGTCGTCGATAGACAAACAAGATTCGGTGAAGAGAAAAAGTAATTGACGTTTTCGCGACATACATGTCAACAGAAAAGAAGTTTCTCAGAGATATATGACGCAACATTGAGACGTTTACTCAAATATCAATAGACCAGTCAAAATCGGTGACAAATTTGCATACAAATGGTATCCGTAATCTAAAGGCTAATAAGCTGTACTAGGAAGCATTTGTACAACTTGGCAGATTAGCGAGTTTGGAATACTTTCTCCGACATATTGCACGTCTTTGCACTGTTCGACAACTAAGATGCCACGAACTGGCTCTGTTAAAGTTTAAAGTTTTGTAGAGTCTCATGTTCTTTTCTCGACCCTAGCAGTTTTGGCCAAAGAAGCGCACATCTAAACTAAACGGACTAACTGATCTCGATTACAAGAAAAACAAAGGTAAGTTTTAATGGTTTGACTAAGTCGTATTATGCATTTCACTTCTTTAAAAACTTCTTAATACTTTGTTACCACAACTTATTGAGCCAGTAGTTGCACCATTTAGAGCCAGACGCAACATAAGTTCGAAAGTGGGACACTTAAATTTCCATTTAATGAACTCACAAATACCCATCCTTCTAGGATAACTCACCCGCTGAACTGCGGCTGATATCAATAACTAGTTAACAACATTTTGTCGCTAAAAGAATTGGCCTCTCGCCACAACATAATCAGAGAAGAATTGATAAAATGCCAAACCTCATTTAAAATTTTTGCTGACAGATGCAGCTGCATATAAAAATTTATTGCATAGTTCAATCACCGAAATATTTTTAAGGGTTGCGGACAAAGAATAAACTTCAAGCCAATCTCCTAGGGAGTTACGCTTCTTGGTGCTCAGACTTGGCACCAAAGAATCGCAAATTTTCTCTCTCTCATCAAAGCTTTATGAACTCTTAGGCTGTTAAGGCTCCAACTCTGAACTATTAACAGACAAGTGAAATTGTCTGCAAGGAGTGCGTTACCTTCCTCGACATCTTTCCATCGGCAATATTTCATCACGTCAATTATGCGCTTCAAATTTGCGTCTATGTCAAAATGTCAGCTGCTACCTTTTCTCATTTTATGGAAAGAAACAAAATTATGAAGCCCAGAAGAAACGTCGCAGGGAAGCTAAAGTTTGACTTATTTCAATCTTACTGTCAGCTTTTTATAGGATCAAGTTGCACCCTTCGTCAAATTGTTTTTTATTGCTCAAAATCCACACGTCTCGGTTTGTTTGTATTGTTGTTTTACCATATTCAAACAATAATTAACCCCATGATCAGTCTCGTAAGAGCCATTCAATAGGAATTCGTCGCATTACCGCTTGACGGCGACTTATTGTGGAAGACACTCAGGACTAGAGAGTCGAGAGATAATTGTAAACCCTTTTGGTGGATTTTAACGTCTATTCTTTTTAAAAAGAAATTAAATAAAGAAAGTTTACGTTCGTTTACATAATGTGGTAAAACAGACACCTCTATTGCTTTAAGACATATTTTTGATGCTTTAAAACCAGGTCAGACAATCCTATTCAACAAAGAATTTTTTGTATCTGACAATTTTATGATATATTTAAGTGGAACTTCCGCACATTTGCTTTCACAACCAATTACGACGCATGAATTTGTTAAATCTTAGAGCGCTTAACTGTTCAATTTATCACAAAGGTCACACCAGGATTTAATTATATCATTCTTGTGAAAAATATCTGCCGTACCTGGCACGGCCATTGAGAGGAAACAAACGGTATCTTTAAGCACCAACCCACGTTCAACGCAGAAAGATCAAACAGGCCTAGTCCACACCAGGATTGCGGATACGCTGAGTCGAGGTTGAAAAGGTATTGAAATAACAGAAAGAAATACGATCAGACTATTACGGAAATGAAAAACTGTTTGCCTAGTCAAGGCAACTGTTGATAAAAGCTTTGGGTGTCACAATCGTTACAAATTTTGTTCGCGTACAAGTAAAATTTTTTTAAAACTTTGCGATAGCGAACGTAACGTCATCACAAGGGAGCTCAAGCTTTATCAACTATATACTAACTATTAGTTATTACGTCTTGACGTGCAACTTGTCATGGTTTCTATAATTCCCACCGGTCGGAAATGACATATTCAAGGTAGCTCTTGGTGAGCTAATAAGCGCCAAAAAAATTCGCCTAAAGCCTAATTAAATATTTTACATCAGAAGTACCTTCATGTTGTTCATGTTGTGTATTTTGTCGTCGCATTGAGCAGTCCATGGTAACATCTTGACATTAAATTCGCTCTCTTTCCCTAGAGCTCTTCTTGAAGACGTTAGTATTTGTATACATGTGATATACGTACGATCTAAGTTGCCAAAGAACTTACTGCAAGCTAGTCCAGGGTGCTAAAAGGGCGTAACCCGTTTGAAGTTCAAATTCTACTGAAGGACTTAAAGTTTTTCATTCCCGCGATCTGAAAACTTGATGTTAACATTTCCCTTTACCCACAGCTTATTATCGTATTGCAAAAAGCTGCGAGAGGTTATTATGTTTTAATTGGAATATTGTGAATTATGCCACAGCCTAAAGATTTCCCTCCAAATTTCAAACGTGAACTGAGAAGGCATTTAAGAATGATAATTACAAAATGTTCCTTCAAAATCATTAAAATCTAGAGCGCATGAAAAGTCCCTCAAGAGAAATTAAATTAATTGATCTTTTCAGTGCGGAGCCTCAAAGATGAATCCTTCAAAGCGCGTACAATTAAAATTATTACAACGCTGAAACAATTTAAGTATTAATGAGAAGTCAATGCTTGACTGAGAACTTTCTTGTCTTCATTTCCCTAACAATTGTGCGATATTGTCTGGAGGGTAAATTGTTCTTCAAGACTGTCAAAACATGCAGAGGCCGTTTGTGCGTTCACACCTCCATCGTAAAAACACAGCGAGGATGTTTGAAAAATTTTTGTAGAATTAGGTCTTTTTTGGAACAGACATTTCTCTGTCATGTAGTGCTATATGAATTTGCGCCAAAGTGATTCACTTCTTTGTCATTCAATTGTTCGGAAAGAGGTTTTTACTGAGAAGGACTCCACGTGTGTGACTGTCTCTGAAAGCAGATTAATGACATGACTATTTTTGGTGCTTAGCTTTCCCCAATTGCTAAAAAGATTTCTTGACGAGCTAGACGAGCGTACTTCCGGTGGAATCAAGCCAGGATCTTTTCTGCTATAGTGGAGTTCACGATGACCGAGATCATAGACCTAGAAGACACATCACAAGACCTGGACTACGACAGCCTATACAGCAAAGACAGTAACAATAATCGAACAGATGTGGAATCGCCAAACGACTCTGGGTTGGATGTGTAAGTAGAGTCTCATGCTACTAGACGATTCTTTACTAATCTGACCGAGTAATTCTGTGGAACTTTGATAGGGTTAAAGGGAAACTCTGGCGTCCGCCTCGAAAGCATATTTTTGTTTCGTTGCTGATTAAAGTTGTATAAACACCTCATGCTTTTAGACGATTCTTTACTAATCTGACCGAGTAATACTGAGGAATTTTTAGAGGGTTAAAGGGGAAACAGCGGTGTCCACTTCGAAAGCAGATTTTTATTTCGTTACTGATGAAAGGTGTAGAAACACGGTCAAAAGTTATTTCAGTGATCTTCAACAAGAGCACGTAGTACATATTAGTGGCTGCGTGTACTTTAGCCTTAAAATACTCTGCTCCTATCGCTACAGCTACAATAACAGAATAAAACGCTCTATCTACATTTCTGGTCGGATCCGTGAGATTTTGTGAAGTGATAAGAGACTTAAAAGATTAAGAAAGAATATCAGGTACTAAAACGGAAAGGTATAGAGTAAATGAACAGAAGCGTATGATGTGATTAGCTTTATTGTAAACAAGGCTAAAATCAATGCAGCTAATTAGCGTAAACTCTTCATAGATGCTCTCAAGGGAGGCACTCCTTTAGCGTTAGAAGTGAAATTTCACTGTTCCAAGACAATTGGCGGAGGATCTCAACCGTTAGCCGTAAACGGCCAAAAAATTAGCTCTTTGGCGTAAAAATTGAGAAATTTAAAATCCTTAGTTGTAAAAAAAATTAACAGTAAAAATTTTCTGGTGACCACAATTAGAAGATATTAACCGTAAGCCGTGAATAGGCCACAATTTTAACAGTTAGCCATAAAAGCCATTACCTATTTGGTGTTACTCAACCGTAACATCTTTTTTTCGAGTCTCTCATTCTCTAATCATAAAGAATTTATTGTCTTTTCTTTCTCCTTACAATCTGATTCAACATCCAGTGTAGGAAAGGTTTGTAAGGAGTATATTTTTAACAAGTAACTCTTCTAAATCCCAGAAGCAACAAGTGGACAACATAGGAGATGTTTTGTTTTTGGCATATTGCAAACCGATTCGTTTAAAGCACTTGTCCGGTGTAAACAACTGGATGAACAGTCTCAGTGACTCAGCTTGTGTCTGACCTTGACTGAAAATAGTTAGTTACCTTGAAACTTTCTAAATTTTTATGTGGTGTATTTCGTTTTCAGCAAACAGCCACGTCTAATTACAATCAAGTCTTACACTGAAATATGTATTGAGGCTGGAGAGTAAGTGAAAATCTATCTCATGATTTCAATCATAACGCCATTTGCTTGTCTTCTTTTTGGTTTGTTAGTTTGTTTCTTAGTCTCTGTTTTCTCAGCCGGCCTTTAGTTTCAAAGCCATCTTAGTTTAAGAGCCTTCCCGCAAAGCTGAAAGAATTTTGAGGTCTTTACCTATATTACAATCAACAGCGCTTTAAAAAGTTGGCATATGCATCGTCCCATACATCTCCGGATTGAGAATAATTCAATTAGAGATGAGATTATCCCGTCTCTCTTAAATCGTCAAAGGATTGTAAAAACAAATTCTATCGAAAACTAAAAGCTATGCAAACCCAGGCCCACTAAAAAAGGTTGAGGTCACATCAACGCCACTTTGAAAGGTATACACCACTTAAAAAGAATGTTTTTGTTACTTCTAATCAGAACCACAGAAGAATCCTCTCCGAGAATCAAACCAAAGTTTAAAACAGACACAAAGTTCAAAGACTCCGAAAGAAGCAGTAGACTCGGAGAAGTAACCCCAGACCCAAAACGAAAGTTCTCTAAACCCAAAGCGAAATTTCCCAAAAGCACAGATAAGGTGAACGTATGGAGCAAACAAGAAAAAGCGAAAGCGAAGGAAAGAAAGCGAGCACCATGTTGGTTGGTAGTTTTTGTGTTCTGTTGCGGTGTCAGCAAAGAGCACCAGTGGTACAGCCTTCTGGGCAAAGGTGAGCGTGTTTTATTTTTTAACCACGAAGAGTGCGGAAGTGACTTTCTTTTAATCTTTCCCTACAGCAACACCCTCGAATCAAATATAAGGGTCAAGACCCTGTAATGAGAAAAAAAAATGAGTGATCATAAATTAAGGAAGCTCCTGATTGTCAAATCAAATTCTCCTCGGCAGTATATCGGAGGAAGTGTAAAGAGAGCATTGTGACTGTAAAGAATATAAATACCAAAGACAGAGTGTTAAAAGTTCATTTCTCACAAGTCTGATTGTTTCTGTGTCATGACGAGAAAGGAAAGGGGTGATTCGATTTCTATCTCTTTGTTAAGGCGTTTTCCTGCTCTCCCTCGTTGCGAATGTATTTGCATCTTTAACCCTTTCACCCCTGAGAGTGATTAGCATCTAATTTCTCCCTACAATATCACCCCTGAATCACACACTAAGGTCATGAGAATGAAGGAAATGATTACCAACAAAAGAAACTTTTGATCATTGAACAAAATCTCCTTGTCAGCACCCTAGGAAATGTATAAAGAACAGTATGGAGAATATGCATAATGACATTGGAGTGTGAAGGGTGAATTCGCCGACTCATGTGTTCTCCTATCATATTTATGGAATTTTGTTTTGAAGCAATTTCTCCGTCTTCATGGTTATTGTACACATTTTACTTTCAGGCGAAAAGATTAAGAATCTAAAGCTTTTAGCGCCAGAAAATGGGACAGTAATTCAGCTGCAAAGCCTGAAAACGTTTTTCAATCTGCTTTCGTTCTCAACTTGTCAATTCAGAGTTTGTGGACCCTGCCTTTGGTTCTATCGGTGCGGGGAGTTGGGAAATACATTTGGAAGATAAGCCGTACTGCCAGCTCAGTGTTACAATAGGGTTAATGTGTTTTTTTTTTAGCAACTGATTTTTTTTTTCCTCGTGCAGGTGCTTTCTTGACGTTCTTTATGGCCATCGTGTACCTAGTAGCAAGTTTAACTATTCTTCCTTTCCTGATCATCGCGGCTGTAGTTGCGACAGTTTTCTTCAGTGCCGGTATTCTGTCATACCTCGCTCTTTCTACCAAGAAAGTTGGCGTCTCTTTTGACGATGATGGCGACGGGTCATGTCTTGGCGCGGTTTGGGGGTCCTGGGTTTAGTTGTCCATGTGTATTGAGGATAGTCCAGACCTCAGTTTAGCCTCATTTTGAAAGCGAGGATACTCTCGATTCCGAGGTGATGACGCACTATTGAAGTACCGTCAGAGAAAAGTCGGTTTACAAACAGATTCCGCTCACAATTTGGTTGTCGATTATTGAACCATTTAACTGCTCTCCATTATATCATGAGTCCGTTATCCTTGCAAAGGCGATTACAAAATTCGCATGCCGCATGAGTAAGGAGATTTTCGGAAACTTGTCATCATCACGTACAATTAAGGAATTTGACTTACTGTCCTTCCAGGATAAACTCGGTTGAAAACCGTGGACGCAGACAATACGGAGGAGCATTGAGAATCGTCACGAAAAATATCAAAAAGTGAGGGGCGATAATATTGCATTCATGATCAGAAAGGCAGATCTTTACGGACAATTGTCTAGGAGTATGGCCTGAGATCAGTCAAATACATAACAAGAGATCAGGAACGTCAAATACAATTTGGACATTTAATGATTGGCTACGATAATTTGTTGAGAAGGGGTGTGGATCGTGTAGCCCCCCGACATTCTCCTCTACTCCTATCAGTTTTCTTTGTTGAGGAATGTCTTATAATTGTTAGTCTACATAATTTTATTAAAGTTTACAATTGTCATTTCTCTTATAACGAACTGATCAAGAGTTTGACTTTACTTGAGATTAAACACTTCCATTGCCAAGAGAATGTGATCAAGGATTGAAACAATCAGCCGCAGGAACTCACGTAAATATAAAAACTATATCTGTCAGTAGCCAAAGCCAGATGGTGCAGGCCAATTAAAATAGCAGAAACGGATTAGAAATATACAATATATTGTCGAAAACGTGAACAAGCTGTACCATGCTTCCTTTGTATATCACGGTTGATTCACTTGATTTAACGATTCTACTTCAACGCTTCGGTTAACTCCTACTCACAACTCTCGGCTTATTCGAAAAGAACACATACTAAATGTCCCGTTGCAAGCACGTGGAACAGTGCCATATATAGGGAGATAAAACACGTGCCGCATATATGTTCGTTTGGTTATGTAAAGATAAACGAAATCACTTATATATGTCAATCAAATTAAGAATAATTAACGTATCGTACAGTTTCCAACAATATATGATAAACGCTTCGGTTATCCAATACTTGGCAAATCAACCACTAATATAAACTGGGTAACGCGCAAATTCGTCGTAAAGGTTTCAGAGGAAAGGAATCACTGCATTAAATATCCTTTTTTCGGCAAAAAACGGTCAAATTCTGGTGTCATCTCTGGAAATCGGGTTTTTCGTTTAGCCCATGCCCATGAAATTCTTCCATTTTGGACTCCCTTAAATTTAAACAATTCACACTCATAAATGTTAGTGAACCCTTAAACATTGTCAATAACTTTGGATTGAAGAAAACAAGGTCCCTTATGGAAATCAATTCCACCACATTAAGTTTCCATCTTAGCGCCTTGGAGGAGTCGAATAGAATGAAAAAAAAATAGTCAGATCACTTAAAAATTTTCAAAAAAATTTTGGATCTCAACTTGAGATTATGTTAAACAATTAGAGTAGTTTTCAAGTAAGTGTTAAAGGTAATTCGGGATTACTTTATTTTTGCTTTGCCTCGCTATGTGATTGGTCCAGAAAACCCGTTCCACTTTCTCAACCAATCAGATTCAAACCCACAACCACAACTTTGTCGCTCACGTTTTCCCGCGTAAAGAGTGGTTTCCTTGATTGTAGTTGAGTTCTTATTGGCTCCATGTAAAATCTCCTTTGCTTTGATTGGCTGTTGCGACTACTTTGGTTCTTCAGTGTGCTCTATGATATCGATGAAAATTGCGTTTTCAATTTTAAGTTTTTATTTAATTTTATTATTTAATTTTCATTACTACAGTACTTGTACATTATTTCAAATGAATAGTCAATGAATATTCTGATCAACTACAACTCAACGTCAACGAAAATTAATTATAATCCCTGATCAAACCCACTGAGATTTAGAAAGTGTTTGACTTTTCATGCTGCGGCTAAATAAATCTGTTGTGTATTAGGGTTCGTTATATACTACTATAGAGTAACGCGTGCACAGACCAAGTGCTTTACACAACTGCTTTAAAAATAGAATAACGATGAACGTAATTAATATACTATGATAGATACATGGATAATCACGTGACTGCGGATAAGGGTGTGGTAACATATAGAATAAAGATTTTGTAATAGCTAAGGTATTTATCCAATAAGAACAAACACTACAAAAACACAGACATTAGCTTATGGTTCATAATGCTTCCCAGTCAAGCGAAGACCAATTGTTCCACTTTATGAAGTAAAAATGGGTCTGTCTACGTCGCTATCATCTTTACAACAGCCAAGAGGATAACATATGCAAAGGCACAACAAGTAGATGATCAAAAACGGCAGCAGTATGGTACCCACGACCAAATAAAAAAGCAAAAGGACAATAAGCCAGAAACAACCTACAAAGGGAAAAAAAGAAAGACTCAACGACCAGATAATTTTAAGTAATTGATTGCGTGACGCCTGACAGCGTCACGCAAATACTTCAGCTCCATCCGATTTGCTCGGAAATTTATTCTTGAAAGGACAGGTGATGACAAGGAAGTCTGGGGCGAGAGTTGGGGTGGGGCGGGGGAGGTTAATGAGGGTAGGGGGGATGTGGGCTTAGTGTATGGTATTAGTTTTCGCTGATAAAAATAAAATTATTTTATGCGTGGACACGAGTGGGCACCTTGTTGGAAAGCTCAGGGTAAGAAGCAAAGAACGAGGAGAGCGGAATAGAAGCAGATCCTATCTACTATGACTGCAAGAAACTTTAGAGTCCAATCTAATTTTATCATACAACGGAGTGGGAATTTGTCACATGACCAGAACCATGAGTATGTGTCTCACTTCCAACCGTGTGGCTTCGTAGCTCAATTGATGTTAGCGTCCAACTAGTATCTGGGAGGCCCGGGCTCAAATCTCGTCGAAACCAGATCTTTTTTGTGGCTTTGTTATTTGCAGCTCACTTGCGAAGATCATATCCTCCATTTTTTTCTCATGCGCAGGTCAAAATAAAACTATTTTCTTTCCATAATATTGTGTGTTAACCAGATAAGTGATGAGAATAACGAAAAATACCAATTTAGGAGTAATTAGTTGATCCAATACTAAATTCTCTGAACTTACATTCTAAGAAGTTTATGGTTGACAGTAAGGAGAATGACACATTTGATATGGGAGTTAAAGGGTTTAGGGACCGGTCATCGCCAGAGGGGGGGGGGGGGGGGTGGTGGAGTATTTTTGTGGGGATCACGTGGTTTTTACGGGAAACGGAGGGGGAATAAGTCGTCGCTAAAAGAGTAAAAATGAGGAGAATATGGAACATACTGAGCCTTATGGGAGAAGCAGGTAGATGTTACTATGACTCCACCAAAATCCTCTGACCCTTCCCTCCCAGTTGGTAAAAAATGACTACACCCAAAGCAAGGCTTATTTAGGCATTTCATAAAATATCTCGGGATCCCTAGAGGTTGAAAGTTTTAAAACAAGAGAGAAAAAATGCTTCTTTTCGCAGGACTGCGAAAGCAGATGCAAGGAGCATAACAGAAAGTAGCGTTGTTTAACAAGGGTCCTAACATTTTAAGTATAGGGTCATTTATTATTATGATAAATTGTTTTCACCTTTTCCTCTCAAATTGTACCATTTATATTCACTGTCACATGCCAAGCAACAGTAATCTGTACAGCCTCTCTCCTCTTCGTAGCTCACTGCTGGGTTTGGGATTGGATACCGAGGACCGCCTGCTAGCATAGGGCGCCCACCTTGTAATGCGGGACGGTGGCCGCTGTAAATACAGCAGTGGAAAGGTTCGATCACATTTCGATACTTTCTTAGCTTTGTCCATTGGTTATAGAGAAGCTACGTCGCAAAAGTGAAAATCGCTACATTACAGGCTACGTTACTTTTAGCAAAGAGGACACTGCAATACATCAGTTTGGTAAGAGAGGAAACTACAAAATGGGAAAGTGGACCAAAAGTTGCGAGGATGGATTGGATAGAGAACTGATTAAAACAGAATCTGAATGACTTCGCAAGAGGCACAACGATTACGAAGTCCCTTTAAGGTAATTTTCAATTAAATGTCGGAAATGATTCAGATTTCGCTTTTTTTTTTGCTTTACTTCGCCATGTGATTGGTCCAGAAAACTTTCACCACCCCTCAACAAATCACATGCAACATTAAAACCAACCGCTTTTTGATCCCTCGCGTTTTACTGCGCTTCAAGGCAGTTTAATTGTTTTTACGTTGCGTTCTCACTAAAATATTTCCTCTGCTGAGGTACATGTTGTGGTTTTTTCGGTTTTGGTTTTACGAGTCTCAGTCTGGGTGAGCACTAAAACGCCCACATTCTACAATGCAGCCCTTGTTGTTTTGTTCATGAAAACAACACATTGTTGGCAATCGATTTTCAAATTTTCTGTCTACACTCGCGTCAGGGGTGGGGAGGGCAGGGTTGGTCAATCTTATACCAAACTGAAGAAGAGGAGGTTAAGGCATCGGTAACATAATGGAAATGACCAGATTTCCACTTGCATCTGCGACCGTATTTTGCGTTGATTTCCTCAGAAATGGGCTCAATCTGTAATCTTTAAAGTAACAGAAAACTTTATAAAATAGTAGTTTTTGGTAAATACCCCACTTGCTCCACAGTATCTACTTGAACAGCCACAACTCTAAGAAGCAAAAGAAACGAACCACTAGTAAATGTCTTACAAAAAAATATACCATACTGCTATTGTTGATGATATAGATCTTTTTCTGGTGCTACCATTGTTCAGCCTTAGTTGGGAAGGTATTTTCTTATCGCAATACTGGCTTATCGCACAGCAAATGGAATGTAGTTGAAGACTTTCACACGTGTATCATTTATTCACTGATTCATCCATCCTGACGACAATAGTATTCATTTCTACTTTGTCCTCCCGTTACCCACTAAGAGTGACTAGCATCTAATTTCTCATTACGATGTCACCCCTGAATCCAACATTTAGTCAGGAGAATAAAGAAACTGATCACCAACTAAAAAAGAACTCTTTTGGACATTTTAGACAAATTCTCCTTAAGTACCACAGGAGATGTACGGAGAACAGTTTGGAGAACTTGCATGCTGATTTTACGGCTTAAATAAGAGTTAGAGTTAATAAGATACATGAAAAAATTACTCAGTTCTGATTGGTAAAGATAAATGTTTTCAGGTAATTCAATGCAGAAGAGGGTTAATTCAGTGCAAAGAAGTAACAAACCAGACTGAACAATTTCTTGAACTGTTTAGCCGGACTTTAGACTATTTTTCGCCTCAGAGATGTGAAAATATCATTGTACATTATTGTTTTGATCGATCCCCACGCTGCATTCACATGTTATGCTTTAAGAGGAAAGCAGGCGCCGCTGGAGACATTGGAGACCTTTAGCATTTAGGACGGCAACGCCAAGAAGACGTTGATTTGAAAATGTATATATATTTTAGTTGGAATCTCGCGAATTACTAGATGTGATGACCATCTCTTACGGCGCCGCAAGTTAACCTCAACATAACGTATGAGAGCGGCGTTGAGTTCCCAAATGGAAACTTTAATAATTTGATGTCGGGGTTCCTTTTCTCGGACAAAGCAAATTTTGATGATTTTGCGTTGTTAGTTTGCGGAGGACGGCTGAGAAATGTACACAGTTCAGTTTAAAAGGCGCGTGCTGAGCTATTGTCCTGCTCATTAGATCTTTTGTTTTGCCACATCCTCGCTGCCGTCGCCGTCGTGGTTTGTTAAGGAACTTGAGGGAAACCAAAGTTCAGTCTCACATTTTACCACATTTTCTTGAACTACCATAAGCCTAAAGAATGACTTTGCTGTGATCAAATTGTGTTAATTTAACTTTTAATCAAGGGAAATTGACGTAAAGAAAGACTACGGGACCCTGTACGATTTCTGAGACTAAATAGACTAAGTACTTCCGCTTTTCCGGGAATTTGGACACAGCCGCACAAACATGGCTGATCTCCTTTCAATTCAAAATTAGTTTCTACGACTCGGGCGAGATTAGCAAGAAAATGGATCTTAGCTGGAGAATCTGGCCCCAGAGTTTACAAAAGAAGAATACAAAGAGCTTTTAAATCCAAATGAAGCTTGATTATAATCGTGAACGTGAAGTCTGCAAAGCGTAGTGAATAAACATACTACAGATGTCTGACACTAACCCTTCATCCGTGGCAGCTATCACCGTCTTTCTTGCCACTTCAACTCCTCCAATCCTTGCTCGTTCTTCTTGAACGGCTAATATCCCCTCTCCTCTGCTGTTCATATTAAAGTCAGTTCTGTTTCAGTGTTGCTCACTTCGATCTTCCAGCGATGCAAGGGTGTACTTAAGCTTTACCCAGGCTATCTCGTTCAAGGAGTGCCTGGTCAAAATCTAACGGTATGTTATTTCCGCTATCTAAATCATCTGTCGGACTGTCCGTAAACATTTCGTGGAACAGAAAACTAAACTGATATGAAATGTTTTAAGTAACAAGGAAAACTTTCGCATATGAAAATAAAAACTGGACTTGCCAAGAACATTATGAGAGCACAGGTCGTTGAAGCATTGAGATGGAATACAGTAAATAACATGCTTAATCAAGCCATTGAGGACATAGTATAGCAAGTAATAATAACAATTTTGATGATAATAATAGTTAGGTCTTAAATCTACGCGTTTAATTTATGATGCATTATATTTTACTGTAAAATGAATTAAGAGCGAGACAGGGGCATGGACTAGGAAGACCACCGAGCGTGAGCTTGTACGTGTGTGACAGTTAGACTGAGTGTCATCTAGCGTGACGTAGCGTGAATCAGCGTGACTTAGCGTAGATTGACTCTTAAGTAGTATGCATATCACAAAGGTTAACGGATATAAACAAGGTTAACGCTTTATTTACGATCCTACTTTGAATGGAAATTCCCTGAAAAGAAATCTCTGAGAAGAACAAGCTTTTACCTCTACCTTTTCAGATAACCGCAGCTTTAAACTCATTCACATGTGAGATATAAGCGATCCTCGCAGCTATGAACACTACTGAACTAGTTGTTGAAATAGGACCTGAAAAAAATTCAGGCCCATACGGGATTTGAACACCGGTATCGCAGAGGTCATGAGTTCAAATCCCGTACGGACCTGAATTTTTTTCAGGTCTCATTTCAACTACTAGTTCAGCAGTGTTCATAGCTGCGAGGACCGCTTATATCTAATTTCTTCACCGCAGTCAGTGCACACATATGATTTTCATATATTTCCAGTAATCATTCACATGTATTAGGTACACAACAAAATATCAACACAACATCGCAATGTCTCCAAACATTCATTACATTCTTCTGGTTTCTCTAAGCAACAACATAGGCTATCCCAAAAGCATTTAACACACTCCATACAATTAGTACAGCACATCTCACAGCTGCAGTCACTGGACGGGGGAGCACCTCCAACAGCAGGGCTGAGGTACGATGATGCAGAGATCGTTGTGCTGAAAATATCAAAAAAATTGATGCTGTTGCTGAAGAAAGTGCATAGCAGTAGCTTGTGTGGAGTGTTTATGAAGATAAAACGATAACACTTTCCCTCCCCTTCTCTTCCCGTCATGTGATCAAGGGAAACCCTTTTCAATCGAAAAATTGGGACGCACAGTTCTCGCCACCTCCTTACACCCCACCCCTCCCTCCTCGACCTGTTCATAAATTATTGCAAACACAATGTGCAATTGTAGTTGGTAATATATTCAATCTGTATACCTCACTGGTTCAGCAGTAATCACTTGAATATTGTCAACACTAAAAGCAGAACAATAACAAGTTCGTTAATGATAATTCATGCAACTATACGCAACAACACATCCAAGATCATCGACGCTTATTCACATAATTACATTCTAAGGCTTACATAAGTGTCACTAGTGGAGGCAGCAGAAGCACATTAGCAGGCTCAGCAAAGACTTCGAAATTGAACAGAATTTTTAGTTCAATTCAAGCCAGTGCATGCGTGAATTTGATGTTAAATAGCTAACATTATTTTGGAGGACATGAACGGGAAATCGGTTGGTAATATGCCGTTTGGAAGCCAAACACTTTATCTGTTCTTTCCAAATTTGCAGGAGCCAAAATTTAGTACTTCATGAAAAACTGGTCTTTGTTTCTGATACGGTCGACTAAGAACTCATTGAGTTGGACTGACATGCACTTAATTTCCTAGTGCGAACTCGGAAAGTAACAGTCGCTGAGTCACACGTCCCATCAATCATTGGCAGATCTGCTACCATGGTTGCATTTCAATTAACTATTGATGATTGTCATGGGAAAGGGCAACAGTTATCAACGTTCCAGACACAAGGCAAAGGAGCTCGAAAAACGGATTTAACATCAGTCTAAACAACGCCATGATGATGAGTGCACAGACACTAACCTTTCACCTGTTTTCAGTGGCACCGAATTGAAATCCGTTTCCACGCTGTGTTCTACACCAAAAGCCACCAAACCTGTTGTATCTTTTCCATCGTCCATTTTAGATTTAAAACTTGTTCCTAAATCACCGAAATTCACTGACACTTTTGATTTACACGAAGAATTCCTGCAACTTTATATCTTTAAAAGTCTCGTGACACGCTTTGAATGCGTGACCTAACATAAAGCGATCGCATAACGGCTTAGTCACGCGAGATGCAAAGATTTAGACCGTAGGAGGTACTAATTCAGTTAGTTTTTTCCCAAACTGATGGCTGCATTTCTTGCAGGTTATTCCAGCCAAAATGTGCCAACTCTGGCTACTGAAATCAATTCATAACTTGTTTAATTATGTGATAGCATCAAGACATTGTAATAGTGTCACAGTGCTTATCAAGTAAATTTACAGATAACTTGTTAAGAAGTAAATTATTATTTTTGTAAAATAAATATTATTATAATGGATGAAAATGATCAGAAAAGAGTTCGATAATCTCTCTTAGTTTGAATTAGCCGGTGATATTTGGTCTTTGAGGGCAAAGTTTACACTCCCAGGAGCTCATTAAGTGATGGGCTCCTGACACTCCTTAACATCTCTACGAAGCATAGCTTCTTCAACCGTTTTTCAAACCCTTAAATCCTTAGGAGCGATCATATTCTAACTGCTCTTTACGATATCACCGCTGAATGCAATCATCATTTATCACATTGGGTGGGGGGGAGGAAGGTGAAGGATTTTTAGCCGATCACACGGTTTCCAGGGGAGGAGCAGAGGGGTATCAGGCATCACCAACAGAGTGTAAAGGGTGGACTGTGGAGAATTGACTACCAATTAACTGCCAATGAGGGGGGTCATAAGAATACCATGGAGCCTTTGCGGAGGGGGGGAATCAGGTTAATTTCATCGTGACATAATCAAAATCCTCGGACCCTCCTCAAGGTCTCCAAACCCCCCTTCCTGAGGCTATAAATAATAACTGGTCCTTCAGTCAAAATCATAAGAATGGAGATGATGACCAACTGAAGAAGTTCCTGATAGAAAAGCAAATTCTTCTTGTCAGTACCATGGGAAGTGTACAGAGAACAGTATGGAGAATATGTATCCTGATATTAGAGAGTAAAAGGTTAAAAGTCGAAATTCTAGAAGTGTTCTCCCCTCACCATCTCCCTATCCGATTACCCCTTCCCCCCTCCCCGTGTTGATTAGTACTGCAGGTTTACATCTCAAACTCAAATCTTATAGACTCAGTGTTGGCGGATTACATCTTTCGACTTTTTTACTATTTCCTTTATTAAATCATCTGATAGTGTAAGACTTGAGAACCACCAGTTTAACTACAGCTTGAGTAAACGCTCAGATAAAAAGCTACTATTAAGTAAAAATTTACCACCGACACAACGATTTCTACAACACAATTTTACAGAAAAGTATTACTAATAGTATTTTACTTGTTAAATATAAAGTGCTACGTAAAATAGAGTAAAAGCAAGTATTTCACCACTACGATCTAATGTCGTCACTAATCCTCGCCGCAGAAGGCAAAAAGACAAAGTAACATGAGGTAGGCTAGTAGGATAGCTCCACCGATCAAATAAGCCACGAGAAGTAACAACAAAATGCAGAAGCCTGCCAAATAACAGAAAAGCACATTTTCAACCAGATTTTACGAGAGAGGAAATGGAAGAACATAACATTGCAATTCAGCTGAGGTTTTTTATTTTATCACCAATCCTCGTGCGAGCTGGTGTCAAATAGCCCTTCGTGGACGCTGTTACAAAAACTAGAATAATTCATCCAAAACTGACAAACGTAGACTCGTAGTTTCTCGTGGGGGAGGGGGGGGTGGAGTGGTTCAGGAGTTAATGAGAGCGAATGCCTTGACAGTATTGTAATTGACAAACTTATACGTGTGGTTTTTTCTGGAGAAGGAGTCAGTTGTTAGGCCTGCTTCTGTTACAATAACCACGTACTTACCCTTTCCGCTTGGTTCGTACCACTCATATCCACTATCACACTTGAAGCAACAATCCACCCAACTGAACTCTTTTGGTGGTGGGGGAGGGGGTGGTGGGGGCGGAGGTAAGGCGGGGTACGCACTGAAGAGAGAGAGGAACAAAAAAAAACAAGTATTACTGTTTAGGAAAAAGAGGATGTTCAATACTGGGATATGATCAGGCTAAGAGAATGAATTTCCTATACAGGGCTTGAATTTCAACGTTTATCTCCATAAGTTAATTTAGACTCAAAGTATAGCGTCCTCAAGGAATAATGGGGCAGAAACATATCGTGACCCCAAATGTTTAGATAGAGAACAACTATACCCCGCACTCGTCTGTTATTTTCAGATCTTCCTGGGATCTCAGAAAACGGCAGAGATCTTCAAAAATCTTAAACGATCTCCTAATTTGATCTTGCCCATGTTCCGGTGTATATTGTGATCTTGACCTACATCTTCAGTGGTGGTGACGTAATAATGAGTTCACTTCAAATATGAACTCTGGTTCGCCTTAATGAAAATCATTTTTATTATGTTTCCAATCTACATTCGATATAGTTTTCTGTTGCATTTTAATTTGTCAAACATAGACCGCATCAACAAATCTACAACTTATAGTATAACGAAAATACAATTTGTGATCGAGTCAAACATTATCTCTGCGAAATAAAATGGAAATAAAAAAAATTACATTCTGATCTCACCTCGGCTGCACAATGGCAGGTACACTAAAGTGGAGATGAAAAAAATATCCACGCGTTAGTTCTTTAGTAGAAAAGAAAAAAAACAGTACAAATGTTCTGGCTTCTGTTCATTACAATAATTACCCCAATTTCTTGACCAACCCCTTTGTTTGCCCTTATCGTACCAATTACAAATTATTACCCCCCTCCCCCTCCCCCACCCAAATCACAACTGCCACTTACAAAAAGGATACGTAAAGTTAGTGAACTTTATAGTCCCTAACTTCACCATACTTGCTCAATGATGTTTTCAATTCTTTTATTACCTTCCAGGCAAACTGATGTTTCTAGCTTCTACGTATTCCCTGGTTACAACGCTGAAAGAAAAAGAACCTATAATTTAGTAAAATCAAACTTTGATTGCGTTGAACGCAAATGTCCAGTATTTTAAAAGTTTTCACCGCAAATAGCCTAAATCTAATGGATTTTGCAAATAATCTCAACATTGTTCGGGAATTATTGAAGGCTTTTTAACCTCCTGTCATATGAAAGTACTTAACAATTGTTGTTAGTTATTGATTTAATTTGAATCCTCCAGATCTTTAGTCCATACCCTCAACTGATAAATTATTAAAAAAAAATTTAAATAAATTTAGGCAGTAGAGAGCTTTTTCTGTATCAGCATACTGTCATCTGTACACGAACGGACGGCTTGGTAGAATTTGAGAAAATTATGCAAACCCGAGACGCAGTCGAAGGTTTCCAGTACCTGCACCCGTAATATTAATAGGCCTTCTACGCTTGAAGAAGTGGTCAACTAGAAAGAAAACACTGTGGGAAAGATTGCTCAAGGCGACAGATTCGAAAGGTTACGCATGATCAGATACCGATATTGACGAAGTTTCATTCCATTGCGCAATATTTTGCGACAAAGGAAATAGGCATCTTTCGAGTAAGATTTATCGCGTTTCCTTCGATGAAATTTCCTAAGGTTTGCTGAACCGTTAGACATATTTGTGCCGTTCCTAATGCCTGTTGATTAAAGAAATTCTTAGGACCAAATTTGAGACAGAGGAAGAAAACCCAAAGTTACAAATGGAGAGGAAACTGCTTTTTTTTTCCGGATTTTAAATGATGGCAGGCAATTTTCACAAATTATGAAAATTTTAGAGATTTTACCGAAGCAAATTGAAGAAAATCAAAGGCAAAGCCAAATCATCACGGGCGAGCGCTTCCCGTCGTGGAGCCTTAGCTTAATTACGAAAATCTTTTTGATAATATTTACTACAGCAAACGATAGACTGAACCTTACTCATTGCCTTTTGATGGCTTTTAGTAACCTTGAAAGGCGTAAATGTGAAAAAATAAATTTCTGAAAAACATTACACTGGCGCCCGCGCCAACATTGAGCAAAAACCCTATGGCGCCTCCTTAAGCCTACAAATGCGAAGGTCCTCAGCGAAAGTATAGCCGTTCATAGGTCACTAAGAACTTGCGGGATTTAAACTAAATTGCTTGGCTGGTGCTGACAGACGGAACAAGGGAATAACTTCTAGAATTCAGTAGTAAGGACGCCTTGATCACACAAATTTCTGAAAATGAATATTCTTAAGAAGAGCAATAACGCAATTTTGCTCTGCGTTAGTTATGATCAGTCATAATTTTCGCTGGTTGTGAGTTCTAGTTATGCAAACTGTCGCACATTTAATTTGATGACTGAGCTTATTTACTTCCGCGTTCTTCTTCGCGTTCTTCGATGGTGGTTATCATCTACTGAATACCAATAGTCATCGAATGAAATTTTTGTAAGGCAAGAAAAGGTATTCACGGGCTTGCCATCATTGTGAAATCTTCATTTAAAGATTTAACGAGTTCCAAAAGAACAGTCCGTCGACAGGAAGAGTTCTACTGTACCAAACGTCCGGATTACGCCGAGTTTGAAATCGTTTCCAATTTTCTAGATAGTATTGTTGAAACTAGAGACTCACCCTTCCTCTGTAGCAACTACTACTGTTTTCTTCGCCAATTCAACGCCTCCTATGACTGTACGCTCCTCTTTGACAGCTAACATGGCTTCGTTGGAACTGTGACCGCTTTGTTTCCAAGCTTAATATCTCCTTTACGGTGTGTTTTCAATCAATTTAGCAGGCCCTTTGCCGACTTTGATGTCCAAGAATCTTCTCTGTGTGGGTCACGGTATGTGTCCCTCTCGACTCGCCGTTTCGTTTCCTTACCCAGGGCCGATAAAACCGTTCTCTCTAGGTCTAATTAAACTATCAACAAACGCTACTTACATTGTCTAGTATTGCATGCGAAATCGCTGGACCAGACAGAAACTTTTCCTTGAACTTTTTGATTGATTTTGACAAGTTAATTGCGTATTCACCAATCACACTCCGTCAGTTGTCAGTTGTCAGACACTTACTCCAGCACAGATCATTAAGTATCGAATTCATTAAAAGTTTAGTACCGTACGTAGTAATTCTATTTAGCACCCGGAGCGCTTATTTAATTTTGTTACCTCAAGGGAAAGTGCTTATACCGAAAAAAATAGGGTGCTTATTTCTTTTTCGAGAAACAGCAGAATGTAAAACAAAGCTTAGATGTTCATGTGACTGAGGATCAACAAGAAAACGGACTTGTTGTCCCTGGATCCTTCCTTGCCTGAACGACCAGCCAAACAATCGACGGAAATTTTAGGAATCTATCGCTGAAGGATCTGTGCCCCCACGGCGATATAATAGTTGATTGACCGAGACTAAGACCAATGTTTCTGTCGTGAGGCTTTAGGTGAGCAACCCTTTAACTCCCATGAGTGACCACGACAGAATTTCTCCTTACAAAATCATTACAATATCAAGCAGACAAGTGATGAGAATAAGGAAAAATATCAGTAGGGGGATTATAAGTTGATCCAATACCAAATTCTACAAATTAACATCACAAGAACTGTATGACAAACAGTAAGGAGAATAACTAGTGAGATCCTGGGAGTTAAGGGGTTAAAGGAAGATGGACCACGGTCGATCTCAATGTCTATATACTCCAACAGTGCTATTACTGAAATAGAATAAACAAAAACAAACTTGAGGGGGGGGGGGTCGCTTATCAGAGAGGGGGCGCTTAATATAAGGAGAGTGCTAAATCGAATTCCTACGATAAACAACTCCCAGTAGATCTCTTGTTTCATGTCACTAACTGAGGCGTTGCTCGGCAATTTGACAAATATGTCCGTCATAAATGCATGTTACTGTTTCCAAATACCAACTTATTTCATAGCAGGTAATTTAACAAGGTAACAACTGAGTTGAAAACGTAAATTAGCCACTGTAAAGGGTAGAAAAGCTGACGTTTCGAGCGTCAGCCCTTCGTCAGAGCGATTATTTCATTGTTTTTGGCAAAAAAAGCATCTCAGCCTGGAATAGATTACGTAGCCGCCAATTTCGTGACGGGAGGAGCCTGCAATGAGTTCAGCGTTGATATCCTAGAGAGGAAGAGTGTTAAGTCGTTTCTCACTATATGAGGAAAAAATCTGCTGCAGATACCGAAGCTGGAATATAGCAATGGCTGCTGAAGACAACTGGCAGACAAAAATCTAAACTATCGTCGAGAGAACCGCGTTTATTTTCAACAACGAGATGCTAAGCGACGTGAAATTTGTGGTTCCTGTGTCAAGTGGAGAAAGCGAAAGTACGAAAGTGATCCCAGCTCACAAGTTTGTGCTAGCAATCAGTGAAGGGAAGCTTTCGCATCTTTCGTGCTCTCCAAACTTCCCTCGTGCTTCATATCTCGATGAACGCACGCTGACGAATGAACCAATTGTGACGTGTAAGTTAGAGTCACTTATCAAAGGTCCGGTGTCATGGTACGGAAAACATGGACGAACGTCTGTTGAAGCGGAAGGAGTGCAATTTACTTTCAGTGATCCAAGAGATTAAGGCAATAGCACTACGTTAGCAGGAGGCCAGTTTCCAGCTTTTATTTTCATATAAACAGCATCTGTATCTACGTACAGTTGGTATCAATATCCTGACTCAGTTAGTTTTTGCGAAATTGGTAACAGTATTCCTTACTGGTTATTAGAGCAAAAATGTGCCAAGCCTGTTAACAAAATGAATGCGACTGTATTTTGCGTTGATTTCTTAGGAAATGGGCTCAATTTGTAATCATAAAAATAGCAGAAAACTTTATAAAATAGTAGTTTTTGGTAAATACCCCACTTGCTCCACAGTATCCACTTGAACAGCCACAACTCTAAGAAGCAAAAGTAACGAACCACTAGTAAATGTCTTACAAAAAAATATACCATACTGTTATTGTTGATAATATAAATTTTTTTCTGGTGCTACCATTGTTCAGCCTTCGTTGGGAAGGTATTTTCTTGTCGCAATGCTGGCATATCGCACAGCAAATGGAAAGTAGTTTGAGACTTTCACACGTGTATCATTTATTCACTGATTCATTCATCCTGACAACAATAGTATTCATTTCTACTTTGTCCTCCGGTTACCCGCTAAGAGTGACTAGCATATAATTTCTCCTTACAATGTCACCCCTGAATCCAACATTTAGTCAGGAGAATAAAGAAACTGATCACCAACTAAAAGAGAACTCTTTTGGACATTTTAGACAAATTCTCCTTAAGTACCACAGGAGATGTACGGAGAACAGTTTGGAGAACTTGCATGCTGATTTTACGGCTTAAATAAGAGTTAGAGTTAATAAGATACATGAAAAAATTACTCAGTTCTGATTGGTAAAGATAAATATATTCAGGTAATTCAATGCAGAAGAGGGTTAATTCAGTGCAAAGAAGTAACAAACCAGACTGAACAATTCCTTCAACTGTTTAGCCGGACTTTGAACTATTTTTCGCCTTCGAGATGTGAAAATATCATTGTACATTATTGTTTTGATCGAACCCCACGCTGCATTCACATGTTATGCTTTAAGAGGAAAGCAGGCGCCGCTGGAGACATTGGAGACCTTTAGCATTTAGGACGGCAACGCCAAGAAGACGTTGATTTGAAAATGTATATATATTTTAGTTGGAATCTCGCGAATTACTAGATGTGATGACCATCTCTTACGGCGCCGCAAGTTAACCTCAACATAACGTATGAAAGCGGCGTTGAGTTCCCAAATGGAAACTTTAATAATTTGCTGTCGGGGTTCCTTTTCTCGGACAAAGCAAATTTTGATGATTTTGCGTTGTTAGTTTGCGGAGGACGGCTGAGAAATGTACACAGTTCAGTTTAAAAGGCGCGTGCTGAGCTATTGTCCTGCTCACTAGATCTTTTGTTTTGCCACGTCCTCGCTGCCGTCGCCTTCGCCGTCGTGGTTTGTTAAGGAACTTGAGGGAAACCAAAGTTCAGTCTCACGTTTTACCACATTTTCTTGAACTACTATAAGCCTAAAGAATGACTTTGCTGTGATCAAATTGTGTTAATTTAACTTCTAATCAAGAGAAATTGACGTAAAGAAAGACTACGGGACCCTGTACGATTTCTGAGACTAAATCGACGAAGTACTTCCGCTTTTCCGGGAATTTGGACACAGCCGCACAAACATGGCTGATCTCCTTTCAATTCAAAATTAGTTTCTACGACTCGGGCGAGATTAACAAGAAAATGGATCTTAGCTGGAGAATCTGGCCCCAAAGTTTGCAAAAGAAGAATACAAAGAGCTTTTAAATCCAAATGAAGCTTGATTATAATCGTGAACGTGAAGTCTGCAAAGCGTGGTGAATAAACATACTACAGATGTCTGACACTAACCCTTCATCCGTGGCAGCTATCACTGTCTTTCTTGCCACTTCAACTCCTCCAATCCTTGCTCGTTCTTCTTGAACGGCTAATATCCCCTCTCCTCTGCTATTCATTTTAAAATCAGTTCTCTTTCAGTGTTGCTCACTTCGATCTTACAGCGATGCAAGGGTGTACTTAAGCTTTACCCAGGCTATCTCGTTCAAGGAGTGCCTGGTCAAAATCTAACGGTATGTTATTTCCGCTGTCTAAGTCATCTGTCGGACTGTCCGTAAACATTTCGTGGAACAAAATACTAAACTAATATGAAATGTTTTAAGTAACGAGGAAAAATTTCGCGCATGAAAATAAAAACTGGACTTGCCAAGAACATTATGAGAGCACAGGTCGTTGAAGCATTGAGATGGAATGCAGTAAGTAACATGTTTAATCAAGCCATTGAGGACATAGCCAGTAATAATAACAATTTTGATGATAATAATGGTTAGGTCTTAAATCTACGCGTTGAATTTATGATGCATTATATTTTACTGTTAAATGAATTAAGAGCGAGACAGGGGCATGGACGAGGAAGACCACCGAGCGTGAGCTTGTACGTGTGTGACAGTTAGACTGAGTGTCACCTAGCGTGACGTAGCGTGAATCTGCGTGACTTGGCGTAGATTGACTCTTAAGTAGTATGCATATCACAAAGGTTAACGGATATAAACAAGGTTAACGCTTTATTTACGATCTTACTTTGAATGGAAATTCCATGAAAAGAAATCTCTGAGAAGAACAAGCTTTTACATCTACCTTTTCAGATAGCCGCAGCTTTAAACTCATTCACATGTGAGATATAAGCGATCCTCGCAACTATGAACACTTCTGAACTAGTTGTTGAAATAAGACCTGAAAAAAATTCAGGCCCATACGGGATTTGAACACCGGTATCGCAGAGGTCATGAGTTCAAATCCCGTACGGACCTGAATTTTTTTCAGGTCTCATTTCAACTACTAGTTCATCAGTGTTTATAGCTGCGAGGACCGCTTATATCTAATTTCTTCACCGCAGTCAGTGCACACATATGATTTTCATATATTTCCAGTAATCATTCACATGTATTAGGTACACAACAAAATATCAACACAACATCGCAATGTCTCCAGACATTCATTACATTCTTCTGGTTTCTCTAAGCAACAACATAGGCTTTCGCAAAAGCATTTAACACACTCCATACAATTAGTACAGCACATCTCACAGCTGCAGTCACTGGACGGGGAAGCACCTCCAACAGCAGGGCTGAGGTACGATGATGCAGAGATCGTTGTGCTGAAAATATCAAAAAAATAAATGCTGTTGCTGAAGAAAGTGCATAGCAGTAGCTTGTGTGGAGTGTTTATGAAGATAAAACGATAACACTTTCCCTCCCCTTCTCTTCTCGTCATGTGATCAAGGGAAACCCTTTTCAATCGAAAAATTGGGACGCACAGTTCTCGCCACCTCCTTACACCCCACCCCTCCCTCCTCGACCCGTTCATAAATTATTGCAAACACAATGTACAATTGTAGTTGGTAATATATTCAATCTGTATACCTCACTGGTTCAGCAGTAATCACTTGAATATTGTCAACACTAAAAGCAGAACAATAACAAGTTCGTTAATGATAATTCATACAACTATACGCAACAACACATCCAAGATCATCGACGCTTATTCACATAATTACGTTCTAAGGCTTACATAAGTGTCACTAGTGGAGGCAGCAGAAGCACATTAGCAGGCTCAGCAAAGACTTCGAAATTGAACAGAATATTTAGTTCAATTCAAGCCAGTGCATGCGTAAATTTGATGTTAAATAGCTAACATTATTTTGGAGGACATGAACGGGAAATCGGTTGGTAATATGCCATTTGGAAGCCAAACACTTTATCTGTTCTTTTCAAATTTGCAGGAGCCAAAATTTAGTACTTCATGAAAAACTGGTCTTTGTTTCTGATACGGTCGACTAAGAACTCATTGAGTTGGACTGACATGCACTTAATTTCCTAGTGCGAACTCGGAAAGTAACAGTCGCTGAGTCACACGTCCCATCAATCATTGGCAGATCTGCTACCATGGTTGCATTTCAATTAACTATTGATGATTGTCATGGGAAAGGGCAACAGTTATCAACGTTCCAGACACAAGGCAAAGGAGCTCGAAAAACGGATTTAACATCAGTCTAAACAACGCCATGATGATGGGTGCACAGACACTAACCTTTTAGCTGTTTTCAGTGGCGCTGAATTGAAATCCGTTTCCACGCTGTGTTCTACACCAAAAGCCACCAAACCTGTTGTATCTTTTCCATCGTCCATTTTAGGTTTAAAACTTGTTCCTAAATCACCGAAATTCACTGACACTTTTGATTTACACGAAGAATTCCTGCAACTTTATATCTTTAAAAGTCTCGTGACACGCTTTGAATGCGTGACCTAACATAAAGCGATCGCATTAACGGCGCGGCTTAGTCACGCGAGATGCAAAGATTTAGACCGTGGGAGGTACTAATTCAGTTAGCTTTTTCCCAAACTGGTGGCTGCATTTCTTGCAGGTTGTTCCAGCCAAAATGTGCCAACTCTGGCTACCGAAATCAATTCATAACTTATTTAATTCTGTGATAGCATCAAGACATTGTAATAGTGTCACAGTGCTTATCAAGTAAATTTACAGATAACTTGTTAAGAAGTAGATTATTATTTTTGTAAAATAAATATTATTATAATGGATGAAAATGATCAGAAGAGAGTTCGATAATCTCTCTTAGTTTGAATTAGCCGGTGATATTTGGTCTTTGAGGGCAAAGTTTACACTCCCAGGAGCTCATTAAGTGATGGGCTCCTGACACTCCTTAACATCTCTACGAAGCATAGCTTCTTCAACCGTTTTTCAAACCCTTAAATCCTTAAGAGCGATCATGTTCTAACTGCTCTTTACGATATCACCGCTGAATGCAATCATCATTTATCACCTTGGGTGGAGGGGGGGGGGGGCGGGGCGGAAGGTGAATGATTTTTAGTCGATCACACGGTTTCCAGGGGAGGAGCAGAGGGGTATCAGGCATCACCAACAGAGTGTAAAGGGTGGACTGTGGAGAATTGACTACCAATTAACTGCCAATGAGGGGGGTCATAAGAATACCATGGAGCCTTTGCGGAGGGGGGGGGGAAGGGAATCAGGTTAATTTCATCGTGACATAATGAAAATCCTCGGACCCTCCTCAAGGTCTCCAAACCCCCCTTCCTGAGGCTATAAATAATAACTGGTCCTTCTGTCAAAATCATAAGAATGGAGATGATGACCAACTAAAGAAGAACCTGATAGTAAAGCAAATTCTTCTTGTCAGTACCATGGGAAGTGTACAGAGAACAGTATGGAGAATATGTATCCTGATATTAGAGAGTAAACGGTTAAAAGTCGAAATTCTAGAAGTCTTCTCCCCTCACCATCTCCCTCTCCGATTACCCCTTCCCCCCTCCCCGTGTTGATTAGTACTGCAGGTTTACATCTCAAACTCACATCTTATAGACTCAGTGTTGGCGGATTACTTCTTTCGACTTTTTTACTATTTCCTTTATTAAATCATCTGATAGTGTAAGACTTGAAAGCCACCAGTTTAACTACAGCTTGAGTAAACGCTCAGATAAAAAGCTACTATTAAGTAAAAATTTACCACCGACACAACGATTTCTACAACACAATTTTACAGAAAAGTATTACTAATAGTATTTTACTTGTTAAATATAAAGTGCTACGTAAAATAGAGTAAAAGCAAGTATTTCACCACCACGATCTAATGTCGTCACTAATCCTCGCCGCAGAAGGCAAAAAGACAAAGTAACATGAGATAGGCTAGTAGGATAGCTCCACCGATCAAATAAGCCACGAGAAGTAACAACACAATGCAGAAGCCTGCCAAATAACAGAAAAGCACATTTTCAACCAGATTTTACGAGAGAGGAAATGGAAGAACATAACCTTGCAATTAAGCTGAGGTTTTTTATTTTATCCCCAATCCTCGTGCGAGCTGGTGTCAAATAGCCCTTCGTGGACGCTGTTACAAAAACTAGAATAATTCATCCAAAACTGACAAACGTAGACTCGTAGTTTCTCGTGGGGGGGGGGGGTGGAGTGGTTCAGGAGTTAATGAGTGCGAATGCCTTGACAGTATTGTAATTGGCAAACTTATACGTGTGGTTTTTCTGGAGTTGTTAGGCCTGCTTCTGTTACAATAACCACGTACTTACCCTTTCCACCTGGTTCGTACCACTCATATCCACTATCACACTTGAAGCAACAATCCACCCAACTGAACTCTTTTGGTGGTGGGGGAGGGGGTGGTGGGGGCGGAGGTAAGGCGGGGTACGCACTGAAGAGAGAGAGGAACAAAAAAAAAACAAGTATTACTGTTTAGGAAAAAGAGGATGTTCAATACTGGGATATGATCAGGCTAAGAGAATGAATTTCCTATACAGGGCTTGAATTTCAACGTTTATCTCCATAAGTTAATTTAGACTCAAAGTATAGCGTCCTCAAGGAATAATGTGGCAGAAATATATCGTTGACCCTAAATGTTTAGATGGAGAACAACTATACCCCGCACTCGTCTGTTATTTTCAGATCTTCCTGGGATCTCAGAAAACGGCAGAGATCTTCAAAAATCTTAGACGATCTCCTAATTTGATCTTGCCCATGTTCCGGTATATATTGTGATCTTGACCTACAGAGATCTTCAGTGGTGGTGACGTAATAATGAGTTCACTTCAAATATGAACTCTGGTTCACCTTAATGAAAATCATCTTTATTATGTTTCCAATCTACATTTGATATAGTTTTCTGTTGCATTGTAATTTGTCAAACGTAGATCGCATCAACAAATCTACAACTTATAGTATAACGAAAATACAATTTGTGATCGAGTCAAACATTATCTCTGCGAAATAAAATGGAAATAAAAAAATTACATTCTGATCTCACCTCGGCTGCACAATGGCAGGTACACTAAAGGGGAGACGAAAAAATATCCACGCGTTAGTTCTTTAGTAGAAAAGGAAAAAAAATAGCACAAATATTCTGGCTTCTGTTCATTACAATAACTACCCCAATTTCTTGACCAACCCCTTTGTTTGCCCTTATCGTACCAATTATAAATCATAACCCCCCTCCCCCACCCAAATCACAACTGTCACTTGCAAAAAAGAGGTTGAAAATAGATACACAAAGTTAGTGAACTTCACAGTTCCTAACTTCATGATACTTGCTCATTAATGATATTTTCAATTCTTTTCTTACCTTCCAGGCAAACTGATGTTTCTAGCTTCTACGTATTCCCTGGTTACAACGCTGAAAGAAAAAGAAACTATAATTTAATAGAATCAAACACAAATGTCCAGTATTTTAAAAGTTTTCAAAGTAAATAGCCTAAATCTAATGGATTATGCAAATTTATTATGTTAGGAAATCATTGATGGCTTTTTAACCCCCCTGTCATATGCAAGTACTTAAAAATTGTTGCTAGTTATTAATTTGATTTGAGTCCTCCAGATCTTTATTCTATCAATTTAATTGATAAATTGATTAAAAACAACAAATTAAATGAATTTAAGCAATTGAGACCTTTCCTTATTAGCATACTGTCATCTGTACACGAATGGACGGCTTGGGAGAATTTGAGAAAATTATACAAACCTGAGACGCAGTCGAAAATTTCCAGTAACTGCACCCGTAATATTAATAGGCCTTCTACGCTTGAAGAAGTGGTCAACCGAAAAGAAAACATCGTGGGATGGATTGTTAAAAGGCGACAGATTCGAAAGTTTACGCATGCTCTTGGCGAAATTCTATTCCATTACGTAATATTTTGCAACAAAGAAAATAGACATTCGAGTAAGATTTATCGCGTTTCCTTCGGCGGAATTTCCTTAGGTTTGCTGGACCGTGCCTGTTGATTAAAAAATTCCTAAGACAAAATTTGAGACAGAGGAAGAAAACACAAAATCAGGTAAATGGTGAGGAAACCACTAGTTTTTTTGGATTTTAAATAGTCGGTAGGACAATTTTCACACATTGTGAGAATTTTGAGAGATTTTACCGGAGCAAATTGAAGAAAATCAAAGGCAAAGCCAAATCAACACGGGCGAGCGCTTCCCTTCGTGGAACCTTAGCTTAATTACGAAAATCATATTGATAATATTTTCTACAGCGAACGATAGTCTGAACCTTGTTCATTGCCTTTTGATGGCTTTTAGCGACCTTGAAGAGCGAAAACATAAAAATTGCTAGAAAAACATTACGCTGGCGCGCGCGCCAACATTGAGCAAAAACCTCATGGAGCCTCCTTAAGCCTACAATTGCGAAGGTCCTCAGTATAACCGTTTAAAGAAGGTCACTAAGAACTTACGGGATTTAAACTGAATGGCTTGGCCGGTTTTGAAAGACGGGACATAGAGGATAAGGTCTAAAATTCAGTATTGAGGACGCCTTGGTCACACAAATTTCTGATAATGACTATTGTTAAGAAAGGCATTAACGCAATTTTGCTCTGAGTACAAGTTACGCAAACAGTCACACATTTAATTTCATGAATGAGTTTACTCTTCTAGTGACTTTTTTACTTCCGCGTTCCTCAATGGCGGTTACTATCCACAAAATACCAATAGTCATCGAATGAAATATGTGTGAAGCAAGAAAAGATATTCACGGGCTTGCCATTGTGAAGTTTTCGTTTGAAGATCTAACGAGTTCCACCAGAACAGTCAATCGACAGGAACAGTTCTACTCTTACCAAACGTACGGATTATGCCGAGTTTGAAATCATTTACAATTTTCTAAATAGTGAAGTATTGTTGAAATTAGAGACTCACCCTTCCTCTGTAGCAGCTACTACTGTTTTCCTCGCCAATTCAACGCCTCCTATGACTGTTCGCTCCTCTTTGACAGCTAACATGGCTCCGTTGGAACTGTGACCTCTTTGTTTCCAAGCTTAATAACTCCTTCACGGTGTAAGTTTTCAATTGATGTTCAAGAGTCTTCCCTGCGTGGGTGTGTATGTCTCTCTCGCCTCGCTGTTTCGTTTGCTTACTCAGGGCCAAAAAAACCGTTCTCCTTAGGTCTAGTTAAACAATTAACGAACACTTCTAGCATTGCGTGCGATATCGCTAGACAAAAAAAACCTTTACCTTGAACTCTCTGATTACTATTGACAAATCAACTGCGTATTTACCAATCACATTCCGTCAGTTGACAATCACAAGTTAGGCAGTTACTCCAGCATAGATCAAGTTTCAAATTCTTCAAAAGTTTAGTACCGTAATATTTCAATTTAGCGCCCGGAGCGCTTATTTAATTTTGTCACCACGAGGGAAAGTGCTTATTCCGAAAAAGGAGCGCTTATTTCTTTTTCTAGAAACGGCATAAAGTGAAACGAAGCTTTGATGTTCATGTGACTGAGGATCAAAAAGACTGGAAAATGGATTTGTTGTCCCTGGATGCTTCCTTGCTTGAATGACCTGCCAAGCAATCGACGGAAAATTTTAGAAGGAATCCATCGTGGAAGGATCTGTGCCCTCACACCAATATAATGGTTCAGAGATGAAGACTAAGACCAATGTTTCTGTCGTGAGGCTTTAAGTAAGCAATTAACCCTTTAACTCCCAAGAGTGACCAAGACAGATTTTCTCCTAACAATATCATTACAATATCAAGCAGACAAGTGATGAGAATAAATAAAAATATCAGTTAAGGGATTATAAGTTGATCCAATACCAAATTCTCCAAACTAACATCACAAGAACTGTATGACAAACAGTAAGGAGAATTACTAATGAGATCTTGGGAGTTAAGGGGTTAAAGGAAGATGGACCACAGTCGATCTCAATGAACATGTACTCCAATAGTGTTATTACTGAAACAGAATAGGTGCGTTTATTGGAAAAAGGGGCGCTAGTTGTAATGGCGGTGCTTAATCAATAGAGACGCTTACTAGAATAGAGGTGCTTAGCAACAAAAACAAATTTGAGGGGGGTCGCTTGTCACAGAGGGAACGTTTATTATAAGGAGGGCGCAAAATCTAATTACTACGGTAAACAATTTCCAATAGATCTCTTGTTTCATGTCAACAACTGAGGCGTTGCTCGGCAATTTGACAGAAATGCCCGTCATAAATGCATGTTACTCTTTTCAAATACTAACTTATTTCATAGTTTGGCAAAAAAAGCATCTCAGCCTGGAGTAGATTACGTAGCCGCCAATTTCGTGACGGGAGGAGCCTGCAATGAGTTCAGCGTTGCTATCCTAGAGAGGAACAGTGTTAAGTCGTTTCTCACTATATGAGGAAAAATCTGCTGCGGATACGAAGCTGGAGCGTAGCAATGGCTGCTGAAGACAACTGGCAGACAAAACTCCAAACTATCGTCGAGAGATCCGCGTTTATTTTCAACAACGAGATGCTAAGCGACGTGAAATTTGTGGTTCCTCTGTCGAGTGCAGAAAGCAAAAGTACGAAAGCGATGCCAGCTCATAAGTTTGTGCTAGCATTCAGTAGTCCTGTGTTCTTTGCCATGTTCTATGGTCAAATGGCCGAGACCAAAGACTGTATTGAACTACCTGACTGTGATTACGACAGTCTGTTGGAGTTGTTTCGCTTCCTCTACAGCGACGAAGTGACTTTAAGCGGAAGTAATGTGATGCAAGTGATGTACTATACTTGAATAAGTACATGGTGCCTTCACTCGTTGAGAAATGTACTAAATATCTTTGTGATAACGTGACGGGATCAGACGTGTTTAGTAATCTGCTGCAAGCTCAGAATTTTGAAAATAGAGATTTGGAAGATCGATGCTGGGAAGTGATTGAGAAGCAGACAGAGGAAGCTGTGACGTCAGACGACTTTGTGACAGCTGAGCGATCTGTTGTTGAATCTCTTGTGAAGAGAGAAGTGTTGAGCGTGACGGAAGTGGAACTGTTCAAAGCTGTTGATCGCTGGGCCACAGAAGAAGGACAACGGCAGGGAATTATACCTATTGGAAAGACGAAGAGACGACTTCTTGGAGAGGAAATCGTGAAAAGAATTCGCTTTCCGTTAATGTCATTAGCGGAGTTTGCTACGGTAGTCGACGACACTGCTATTTTATCTAGGAAGGAGACTGGTGACATGATGAAATGCTACAGCAATGTACCCCTTTACCATTTTTGCAGGGAGCAAGGAAAGAGTTTCCTGTATTTCGAGTCAACAGATTTGACGATTATTATGAGCCAACTACGGCTGGATGGCTGACAGTGTTCACTTCTCCGTAAACAAGCCTATTAAGTTGCTTAGAATTCAGCATTTTGGTTCTGATGGTGGTGAGCACACAGTCTCCACTGAGGTCAAAGATACAGCCACAAACTTAACTGTTGTCAAACGATCAGGAACATTCAAATCAGAAAAGGACGCGAACAATATTTATTAAGGCTTTTTTTGTTTTATCTAATAATCCTGTCTGCTTGGAGGCAAATAAGCAGTATAAGTTAGAGTCACTTATCAACGGTCCGGTGTCATGGAGCTGAACAGATGGGCGAACGTCTGTTGAAGCAGAAGGAGTGCAATTTACTTTCAGTAATCCAACAGATACTGGCAATGGCACCAAGGTAGCAAAAGGCC